CTTTGGCATCGCAGTCCACTTCTTCCAGCACCGTCTCGGATGGCTCTTCGCCGTAGATTCTCCGATAAAACAGCGCGTATTCCGGATAGATTGACTCCTCGTGAAAGAAGATGAACTCCCGGAAAGTCCCCACTGCGGCCTCGCGATCACCAAGAACAACATCAAATGCGCCTGAGGTCACCTTCTTCGAGTAGTTACCGGGATTCTTCTCAACGAAGGGTCGTCCCATCACTGCACGGCAGGCGACCATGGCATACAGGCCTTTGTAGCGGCCGGTCTTGTCATCTTGCGCGTACTCGTCCGCCTTGGTCGATGCTTCAGCGAGATATGCTCCCGGCCCAAACATCGTTCCTGCGCTGGCGCCAGCTAAATCAATCTTGAAGTTGTTCTTCAGGATCGCCACGGCCGATGTCGGGTTCGTGCCGTGGAGGAAGATCCCCTCGGTCGAAGGGTTCTTGCCGTCCTCGTCAACACAGCGCGCTGCTAGTGCTGGGCAAGCACGGACTGTTTTGGGTACCACGTCCTGGCCTTTGTGATCTGTGTGTAGGCCATTGCGACTGAGGCCGACCTTGTGCCGTCGGTCTGCGAATGCATCCCATAGGTGGGGATTTTCGGATCGAACTGCGGCGACAAGCTCGAAGCGCTCTGCCAGTCGACCGCCTCGGCGATCACGAGTGACCTTTTTCACGTAGCTGCCGTCTAGCAGCTGCTGCAGCCACTCCTTCTCCTCCTCTGTCACAGGCACGACCTTGAAGGCTGCAGTGCCATTGCGGGAATCAGAGGTCCAGTAGTCCGGGGCCTGCATCGGTGGGCGGCCCAAGGGAGTGTGCTGCGCGATGGCCATGAACACCCGTCCGGCTTTGGGCCGGTGGCGGAAGACAAGCTGCTGCTCACGCGCCACCATGGACACAAGGCCACCCCAGCGCCACGCACGCTCAGCTGCATTGCCATTGCAAACGATAAGGTCCCATTCACCAAGGTGGTCCACCAAGAAATCGATCAAACGCATGGTGTACTTGCCGAAGTTGTTCTCCCCACAGTAGAAACCATCCCAGTACTCGCCATGGGGAGACATCTTCTGACGGAAAGCCCGGCAACTGAAGAGGCAGTCGCAGTAGGACTGTGGCCCGAGCATTCTTCCCTTCAGGAATCGCTCGATGAACTCTTGCAGCTTCTGATAAACACCATTGGTGTTGAAACCATTCACCTCAATGAAGCCCTCGTAGTCCGCCGAGACAATCCAGTCACGCAGCGCAATAGCTGTCTGCCTTTGCCTACCTGCGTTCTCCTTGAAGGGATCTATGATTTCACAATTCATCGTATTGATGCTCTCGGGTGGAGATCTCGGAACGGATCGGAGCTCGATCATCAGCAGCGGCTCGGCTGCAATTGTGCGGTCTGGCGCTCGCGTGAACTTGATCTGCTGCTCCCGCTTGATGCCGCCTTGGATTTCCTGGTCGACCATCTTTCTCTGAATAGGAACACCCATAGAGTAGCTGTTGGAAGGGTCCCTGATGCTGGAGATGTGGCCACCGTTACAAAGCATCAGCAGCCACCCTTGCGAAGCTAGGGCTATAGACAATTCGATGGTCAGCTTGCCGATGTTGTTGGTCAAACCCTGCTTGTAGTAGAGATTCTGTGGAGTGACAAACTTGCGATCGCAGAACTTTGTCTGCTCGTAGAATTGAGGCGTGTAGTCTTGACACTGCCAGCTGCCCAGCAAGAACTGTGAGACGAAAGGCTCGATGTCACGGGAGCTGGAAAGGCCATTCACCTCCACATAGCCGATGTCCCTGAGCTCGACCATGATGTGGTCTTCACCATGCTGCACATGCCCGTCGTCGCGGAAGACCATTTGCTGTTCGCGGATGCTTCCATACCTGCCGAAGTTTCCGCCGTTGCAGGTGATCATGGTCCAGGCGCACTGCTGCACCATAAAGTCGACAATCTCCATGGTTTTCATGCCCATGTTGTTTTCGCCTTCACGGCCGCGAGTCTTGAAAACATCACAGCGAAACTTGAGAGCGCAATAGACCGGGTCTGCCTGAAGCCTCTGTGCTTTCCAAGTTTGTACCAGCCACTCGGTGAGCTTGTCGAAGATACCATTGCTGTCAACGCCGTTGACCTCCACATAGCCTGCCTGCCGCAACTCGATCCTGGCTTCAACCAAAAAAACCATGAACGCTCGGAGTAATTCAAAGTGGCAAGAAGCCCAAAAGTTTAAGCGCTTTGTACACATCCAAGGAACATGAGGTGTGGGGCAGTCAGATTCAGTGGGTGGGGCGCCTTGAAAATAACTTGCTGCTCGCGGATCTGACCGTAGAAGCCGAGGTTAGTCCCATTGCACAGATGAAGCCCCCAACCACACGTTTGCGTCATGAAGTTCACCAGTTCCATCGTGAGCTTCCCCATGTTGTTCTCACCTTCCTTTCCGCGCAGCTTAAAGACCGTCACGATATTCCTTACAGGGGCTGAGTACCCTACAAGTAGCCCGAACAAAAAGGTAAACCTTGTAAGCTGCTAAGATTCTTGCCGCACATCGGCATGCACCGACATACGAGCTCGTTGGGAGGCCAGTCGAAGCTCGCGTCACAAAGGCGATTCCACTCTGCCACCGGCCCAACGCGATTGACCATGCCAGTAGAGTAGGAGCCAGATAAGCCAAGGTCGTTGTCCCTGTCTTCCCTGTTTGCAACAACACGCACTTCCGTGCTCAGAAACTCGCACCCCCACTGCTCCCCCATCCAATCCTCCAGTCGTTGATAGATGCCACCCATGTCTTTGCCACAGATCTCAATGTAGCCTAGGCTGCGGAGCTCTACCAACAAGTGGGGGATTTCCGTTCGCGCATCGAGCGCAGCCATGAGTCGTTGATCCTCTTCATATTCTTGCTGCCATCGCGAAGTCGAGCTCCGCATCGAAGCACTGCGCAAGGCCGCAGAAGTTCGCATGGCCAACCCTCCGATATCTGCCAGAAGACTGCGCAGAGGTACCTCCGAAACCCATAAAGGCCATAAACCTTGCCTGAAGCATCCACTTGTCCGCTTGGGGTAGAACGACTCTGACAGGGTTCAGGGTTTGGAGCTCGGGGATTACAACCTGTACAGGGGCTCTAGGCGTATGGTTTGCTTTCGGGGTTGTTTGGCTTGCGGGAGCTTTGGCGTGAAACTAGTCATGCACACCTGCTTCGGGCCGAAATACCAAAAAGGATTCTAGGCCTTAATTACTCAGGGCTCTCAAGGGAACGCACTGAAGCCAGAAACGATTGGTTGAGAGGTTTAGGGTTTCGGGTTTGGCTGCACGTAGCCCTAAACCACAAACCAAAAGGTTCCTGAAAGCGCGTTGTGCTATTTGCCGAAAACACAGATCTCGATGCACGACCTCGCCGTATCTAATCCCTGACCCTTTCAACCCTGGGGCTCAGGGTTCTCTAGGGATTCTCAGGCCAAGTCGAACTGTTTGGGGTTGGGGCTCCCCCTAAACCCTAAACCGCAAGGGTTTAGGGGTGAGGGTTTAAGGATCAATCCCAAACCCTCAGAGCCTCAACGCGATCTCGCCTTAGCCGAACGGGCACCTTTGGACACAACCTGTCGGGCTAACATCTAAACCGCGAAAACCTGAACCCCAAAAGCCCCCAAACCACTAAATTTCAAGTCCGACGCCCTACACCCCAAACCCTAAAACACTCAACCGCTAAAGCCGTAAACCCTAAACCCGAAACCGCTTACCTCCCTGTCCCCGAACCGAAGCTCCGACGCTGCTAGGGGCGTCAACCCAGGAATGAGAAGGGGTTTAGGGTTTAGGGTTTAGGGTTTAGGGTTTAGGGTTTGGGGTTTGGGGTTTAGGGTTTAGGGTTTCGGGTTTAGGGGAATGAGAAGGGGTTTAGGGTTTAGGGTTCTTGGTTTTGGTAGGGTTTAGGGCGCGGGGGTTTTACAGGGGTTTAGGGTTTCTACGCCCAAGAGCAACCTCGGAATAAGAAAAGGCACCTTCTTTGGGGTTAAAGGGGTTTATGAGGGGAACCTAAAACCCAAAATGAGGGAACAGGGCCTGCTCTGGGTCCTAGCTCTCACTACGATTGTGCACTTGTGCACTAGGCAGGCCCCATTTTGACCCTCTGAAAAGTACCCCTACCTAAGGCCAAGAAGGGAAAAAATGCAAACATCCCAAGGGCCTACCGAGATATACAGCTCCCAAACCCCATGTTTAACACGGTCGCCTCGCGAGTTGCAGTATCGACTCGTTCCAGCCCAGATCTCTTCTGAGCTACTTGAAACAAAGGTCAAACAAGGAGTAAACCCTCGGCCCCTTTAGCCCCAAATAGACGGGATCCCTTGCCCAACAAGGGAAGGTGCGGAACCCAGAGGCCCAGACATTGCCCGTAGCATCGTTAGCAAGGCTGCCCAGAGCTGCCAATACACAAAAACCATGTGGACATGTACCATGGTTGAGAAGCGGCGGACCCCTCGCAACCACAAGCTCACATTTGTCTCATGAGGTGGTCGTGGAGGAAAATCAGCATCCACAGGGATCGACGCGACTTCACGACCCTGACTCATGCGAGATGGGTCACCATGCCCGGCGTGCTGAACGCGCAGAAGATGAGCACCTGGCGGGCAAAGGCAAGGGGGCAACTAGGGGACGTACAGGGAGGGCTAAGCAAGGCCAGGTTGCGCAGCGTACACCACACGCATGCACTCAGATGCAAAACCCTTTCCACCAACAAGACAATAGGCCTGCCTGAGTCAGGGCCCTGCCTCCTACCCCCTCCGTGCCCTGCAGAATAAATGGCTGCGGCCAACAACATGCCTCTGCAAGCGAGAATCGAAATCCAAGCAAGCTCTTTCCGACACATGTGGTTGCCTTGAAAGACAAAATCAGCAAGCTCTTTCCGAGACATGGGATTGCCACACTGAAACTTGATGTTGGGCTAATTTGGCCCACATGGCTCCATGAGTAAGCAATGAAACGTTTTTTCGCCCTTCGGGAGGGCAGCTCCGATCGTTGACAATGAGCTCCAGCAGCCTGGCTGAAACCTTAAACGTCCATAGTTTAAGTATGGTTCAGGATGCCTTCGCGAAGCTGAGTGAGCTCTCTTGTCACACTGAACAAGTTCTCCGACATTGAACCCACACCACGTCTACTTTCCAGATAGGAATGATGGGAATCATCCCTACACCGCATTCTGCACTGCGTGATGATGGGCTCCGGTGCGGGCTGGGTGGCTAGGGCGCCAAGCCCAGGCGGGTGAAGACAAAGCGCAGCACGCGCTCTCGAACAGGCGGAGGTGGCGGCGGCGTCTGCGCTGCCCCCAAAGCGCTCTTTGAGAGAGCTGGGAGGTCCACGCGTGGTGCTGGCCTCGGTACATTCAGATCCGGGATGTGGCTGCTCAAGCTGCATCAAAAATTCTAAAGGGCGACAGCTGTTGGCTTGGTGCTTTCGGACACTGCTGTTTAGCTGAATGTTTCTGTACTTGCAAGTTTCCAAAAACATGACTTGTCTGCTCTGTCAATCGAGCACGAGGCCGAGCTGAATAGGCTGAATGGAGTTTTGGAAGATTCGATGGAAGTCTTCCAAGAAGGCTCAGGCAGACTGAAACCTATTGCTAGATGCTTGAAAACCCACAGGCCAAGCAAGGTGCTCGTCCGACTTCTTGTCCGTCTCAGACATCCTTGACGTCTCCGAAACACCTGTGCATGACTTGGGCACGAAATGGATCTTCGCTCTCTTCCCTGGACTCGACCACAGCTGCCTGCCTTGGTTTCTGCACTCCGAAGCCTCTGCTTTGAGATGCGCAAAGCCCTCAGCGCCGGCCGCGCAATCACCTGCATCGAATGCGCTTCATCTGAGAAACTTGCACACGGTGCACTTGCTGCTCGCCGTGCTTCGGGCACCGCAGGCTTGACGCGCTTCTAGATTGCGGAGCACCGCAAGCGGTTGGCTCGAAAATGTCCGCCTGCCTGCTTCGCCGATCGCGGCCAGCACTAGCTCTTGCGGATGCGCGGTGCTGTCGGAAACATCACCTGCGTTTGGAAGCGTTCATCTGGAAAGAAAACACGAATAAGCGCCGGCCTGTCTCGCCCCTCTGGGGAATCTCATCTACAGGGCAGCTTTCACCTGCTCATCCGAGCTTTAAACGGTATACGTTGAGATCGTCAAGCCGCATGAAGCCGCCTGTTCCGCCACCCTCTGCCAGCGGTGTCGCTGCAACGCTGTCGCAGCCGTCACCTGCAATGGCAAGTCTTCACCTCTTCCATGAGAACTTCGCACGCGCCACTTGCTGCTTTTCACCCCCAAGGCCTACGGCTCAAGATGGGTCAACATTTGGGAGCGATGTTCTTGACTGGATGGCACTCAAAGCCGCCTTCGTTGCCACCCTCCATCTCCTGGTCAGCTGGTGTGGCGCCGTCGGAGGCATCACCTTCGTTAAAAACATGTTTTGAGCGTCTCAACTTCTCGTTGAATGTCTTGCGCATCGGCGACTTCAGGGAGGATCACGCAGAACACAAGCCCGCCTGTCTCGATCTCGCGCGCGGCGTGCGAAGGCATGTCACAGCAGCGGTCACCTGCGTTGCATGCCACACTTGCAACTTGAGGGCCTCTCAAGCATCGGAACCAAAGGCGAGTTCAATCGAGACCCCGTCTGCAACAAGGGCCTTGCTCATCCTCCGGCACAATCCCCGCCACCTGGCAATGGCTGCAACTGGGTCGGCAGTCCGGCAACTATTCCCCTCATCTTCCCTCCACTGCCGAAGCAGCCCTGAATTTTCTGAACGCATGCGACCCTCGGCCGTCAAGCTCCAGACGCAAAACACCCCCACAGCCTACAGCCTACGGTTACCCCTGGCCCGGGCCTGCATTTCGCCCTCAGCCATCATGAGCAACGGCCCCTGACACCAGCGAACGCAGCTCAGGGAGGGTTGGGAGCTTAAAGAATGTCAACAGCCAAACCTTCCCCCAATCTCGCAACCCCAACACATTGCCGCACGAGTCCGGCCTCTGGCTCCTGCGCCGCTCCAAGCAGCGGCTCTTCCTTGCAGCGAAAACAGTGCCCGATACTGCCCAGCATGGGTGACACTGGCACGAGTCGATCCGAGCCAAAGAACGACAATTTGCATAAGCCTGTATCCAAGATTGTTGCTCCCCCGCGCAACAAAATAGGATGCTCACTGGACGCAAGAAAGGCGCGGCACCTCCGCCACAATGTTGCCGGCGCACGCCGCGCTGACCTTCCGGCAGCAGCACACCTGCTGGAAGAACACGTCGCAAAGCGACATGATGCCAAGGCCTCTACGGCAGCTGTCTTGAAGTCTTGAGGCAAACAGCCACCGGCCGATTTCTCGAAACAAACGTCGCAAAATCAGAGAACTCAGAGAACCCATGTCCCTAAGCTCGCAGGCATCACCACGTCAATGTGGACTGTGGAACTCCGCGGCCCATGAGAGGGCGAACAAACACATCGAGAACGAAAACTGCGCGGAGACATGCGGCAGTCGTGCGGGACGAATCCGACAACTACGTAGGCACTAAACTAAACTCACAAGGCCTTTTCACAAACCGCGCGACACTGGGCAAATTTGACCCAGGTGGTTCGAATCCGTTCTACTTTGGCCCGGCATGGCCCGGCCTTTTCGCCGCCGGACAGAGCATGTGCTCATCCGGGTAAATCAATCAAGCTGCTTCAAGCTATCTATGGTCCAGGATACCTCTCTGAAAGCTGAAGATGCTTGAAATGCAACCTCTGGAGCCACTTAGACTTTGCCCGGGATTCATCGTCTTCTGACTCCGAGCCCGAAACTCGAACCCGCGAAGCGCCCTACACGACGTCAAAGATGGGAATGGTCACAAAGATCATAAGATCAGTGACTCCTACACTGCTACACCGTTATAAACTGTCATGCACTGCGTGATGATGGGCTCCTGCGCGGGCTGGGTGCCTAGGGCGCCAGGCCTAGGCGGGTGAAAACGAAGCGCAGCGCGCGCTCTCGAATGGGCGGAGGTGGGGGCGGCGTCTGCGCTGCCCCCAGTGCGCTCTTTGACAGAGCTGGGAGGTCCGAGCGCGGCGCTGGCCTCAGCCCGGGGCCCGCAGTCCCAACAAGCGCACGGAGAGCTCTAAACAGAGAAAGGAGTTCAAAGATTGGCTCATGGAGGCACTCAAAAAGCTTTCTCTTCCTCCTCCCTCAGCCACACCTGACACCTGTTTCTGTGAATGCTTGAAAAACAGCGAATTTGGCCAACCAAGGCGCTCGTCGGCCTTCTTGTCCGCCTCCGACGTCTTTGACGTGTCCAAGACACCTGCGCATGACTTGGGGCGCGACACGAAATGTTCTGGAAATCCTCAGTCGCTTCCCTGGACTCGACCAAGGCTGCCTGCCTTGGTAGCCGCACTCCGACACAGCTGCCGTCACATGCGCAGGGGCATCAGCGCCATCGCACTCACCTGCATTCGACGTGCGTCGTTTGAGAACTTGCAGACGCCGCACTTGCTGCTCGCTGTGCTGCGGGCAACCAAGGCTTGATGGGGGCTCCTAAATTGCGGGACACCGCAAGTGACTGGATCGAAAAATTGCGCCTGCTTTCTCGACCTCGGCCAACACTGGCTCATGCGGATGCACGGCGCAGTCGGGAACATCGCCTGCATCTGGAGGCGCTCATCTCAAACCTTCCTTTGGCTTTGCACCACACCGGGGAGGAAAAACACGAATAAGCGCCGGCCTGTCTCGCCCCTCTGGTGACTCTCACACGGCGTGCAGCTATCGCCTGCATTGAAAGTGCATTGCAAGGTCACACTCTCAACATTGGACGGTCGCGCGATGTTGCGCACGGAGGTCGACAGCCCGTAACGAAGCGGCCTGTTCCGCCACATCCGCCGCCCTCTGCCATAACTGCAGCGCTGTCCGAGCCATCACCTGGGACGGACACTCTTCAACTGAACATGGAAACCTCGCACTTGCTGCTTACTGCTTTGGATGCCGGGTGCCGAGGGATCAAGAAGGCTCGAAATTGGGGAACGATGCTCTTGACTGGATCGCACTCAAAGCCACCTGCGTCGCCACCCTCCATGTCTGGTTCATCTGGTGTGGTGCCATCGGGGGCATCACCTGCGTTAAAAACATGATTTGAACTTCTCAACTTCGTGTTGAATGTCAAGCCCGCCTGTCTCCATCTCGCGCGAGGCATGCGACGGTGTCTCGCAGCAATGCACACCTGCGTTGGAAACTCTTCCCATCTGAACTCACTGGCGCTTTGCCACGCCCGCGAGGGCCTCTCAAGCTTTGGAACAAGAGGCGAGTCCAATCGAGACTCGAGACCCCATATCTGCAACAAGCACGCGCCTGGGTCTCGCCCATCCTCCAGCAAAGTCCCCGCTACCTGACAATGAATCCCTCATTTCCCCTCTCGACTGCCAAAGCAGCCCTGCGCACGCGACCCGCTCGGCCGTCAAGCTCCAGACGCTCAACAACACCCCTAAAAGCTTCGCTAATTCCTGGCCTGGGCCTGCGTTTCATCCTCAGCCACCAGGAGCAACGGCTCCTTGACAACATTCAGGGATCGCAAGCCCGCACGAGTCCACGAAATGGTAGGGGCAGGCCAACTTACGAGGCTATGCGAGGCTGCAGGCCTCTGGCTCCTCCGCCACTCCCAGCAGCGGCTCTGCCTCTCAACAGCAAGCAAGGATGACACTGGGTGACACTGGCAGAGCCCTAAAGCTTTCAAGGCTCGCACGTTTTCGGAAGCGTGACAACAAACTACCAAGGGTGCTCACAGTGCTCACCGGACGCAAGCGACGCAAGGCGCCTATCAAACGTACAGGATCAGGAGGCAAAGCGGGCTCTTGGGATCTCCGAAAGTAAATGCATCTACTGGAACACATGAGGGGCCCATACATGATCCTATGAGAGCCTGATATGGAGGCCTCCAAACACCGAATTCAGCTCGAAGCGCAGCGTTTTGCCAGAGATGCCGAGCACAACTCGGGCACACGAAACGTCCAAACATGGCGGGCGCAGAAAACCTGATGGCTGTCCAACATTCCATCATGCGCGAGGCGGCATTCCTCACCGCTTTGTTCCAAGAAAGTCTTTCATGGCTGCTGTCGCGAACGCTCTCTTTAGTCAGCTTTCGCGGACAACGATACTTGCTATGAGACTTTTAAAGTCGCAGCTAAGGACCCTTTGCGCAATCCTTGACAGAGTAGAAAGCCGGAACGCAAGAACCGCGAAGGGCGAGCACTGTTTGGGGAGCAAACTCCAAGGTCCACAAAGTAGAGACTAGGTCCTAGTGAGCTGAAGCAGAGGCCCGGCGCCTAGCAGCTCCACTGCGGTGCGTCCCCACGCTGCCAATGGCTAACACGGCTAAGAGATGGTTAACTCACACACTCGGCAGGCTCAAGCCGGCTAACAGCTTCCTTTTTGTCACCTCCGCTTCTCTCGTGACGCTGGTCGCTTGCGCCGAGACCGTGACCTCAGCAGCTTGCTTCTCTCAGTCTCCCCTAAAAGATTCTCCCTTTTTCATAATTCCATATAGTTCCCCACACTTGCCAATTGCCGGGGGCCTCCTCCTTCGGCTGCGGCTTCGGCTCCTGCTCCTCTTGGGGGAAGACCTGGAAGATTGCCCGTCGGCTGCAAGTCAATTCCACCAAAGTCGCAGCGCCCGGCATGCTGACACAAGGAGTCGTGATTCTGTCCGGGGCTTCGTCCTTCGACTTGCCTTCTTCTCCTTCCTCTCGGCCTATACCAGGCTAGGACGACGGGCAGGGCCACTAGGATGTGGGAAGACTACCAATGGCCGGCCTTCTTCTCCCAGGAGGTATCCCGCCTGCCCTTGTCTTCCCTCTTGTCTTCCCTCCTGTCCGACCTCTCCCTCTTCCGCTCCCTCTGCTCCTTCGGCTCCTTTCGCTCCCGCTGATCCCGCTGATCCCGCTGATCCCGCTGATCCCGCTGATCCCGCTGATCCCTCTCCTTCCTCTTGTAGGACCTGACAGTCACCACATCTCTGCTTGCGACATGCTGACGCGTTGAGACAGGCCGCTGAAAGGTCGAGGGCGCAGTTTCCTTCTGACCTCTCTCCTCCCGAACCTCAGACCTCAAGTGCTTGCAAGATTTTGCAAAATACTGGGCAAAAGCTCAACTTGCTACTGTCAACTCAAGGGCTAGGAGGCAGCTGAGCCCTGCAGCTTTGCCGGCTCAGGGTCTTTGATCTCATCAGGCTGTTCCACCTGAGGCCGCAAGCGGTGGATTTGAGCTCCTCTGGGCTTCTTCCCGCCTTCGGGGGCGGCTCTGGTGATGGCTCGCGCGGCGGCTCAGGAGGCCAGAGTTCAGCCTGCCTGTAGCGTATGCTCGCCTGGCATAGGAGCAGCTGAGCTACGAAGTTGCCGGAAACAAGAAATGGTAGGAGATGTTTTGCGGCTAGATTCCGTACATTCCATGAAGGACGCCACCTCAAGCCCTGTCTAGACCCGCTGAACAAAGGACCTCTTCGGACATCCTTGAAACATTCGCCCCTCCTTGCAAAGATGCGGCGGAAGCCCAAACAGGTAGCTGCAACATCGACGGCTAATCCGTCGCTCCCCGCCCCCACTTCAGCCGACTGCCTCGCTACCTGCACGTGGCGCGTGAGGCCGGCGACGCACCGATTACGTTCCCACCGCTTGCCCACTCCGCCTTGCTATCTGTGCCGAGCGTGTGTGGCCAGCTGATCGACTGGTCAGAAAATGATCGCTGATGGACGTTTTGCCCCACCCCACCCACCTGCACCACAGGAGCCCGCAGCGTTCAAATTACCAATGGGCGTCGAAGCGTCGACCACGTGAATGGAGAAGAAAGCATTCTTGACTTCAAGACAAAACCAGCGGGGTGGACCACTTCTGATCTGCTTGGGCGTCCTCCGTTCTCGAGCGTCCTGTCTCCTGAGCTACTCAGTATCACTTGATGCCCATAAATGCCGAAGTCCGAAGGGTGCTCAGAGGAGAGCTCAGGGGGGGTGGTTGCGCGGGTGTCCCCCCCCCCTTTAGGTGTCCGTGTCCCCGGCGCAGTCTCTGCGTCCAGAAGGCGTGGAACTTCACATCGCCGGCTCGGGCGAAGGGAAACTTGGCGCCAGAGGCAGGCTTCGGGGGATTCATCCCTTTGTTTCATCTGTTTGTCTTGTTTGGGGGCGAAGCTCTCGGAGGCTCTTTTTCTTCTGTCTGAGGTGTCTTCATGTGGTGTCTCATATGGTGCCTTCCTATGGTGTTTTCCTTATAACCCACCCTAAACCCCAAAACCCTAAAACCCTAAAACCCTAAAACCCTAAAACCCTAAAACCCTAAAACCCCAAAACCCTAAAACCCTAAAACCCTAAAACCCTAAAACCCTAAAACCCTAAAACCCTAAAACCCTAAAACCCTAAAACCCTAAAACCCTAAAACCCTAAAACCCTAAAACCCTAAAACCCTAAAACCCTAAAACCCTAAAACCCTAAAACCCTAAAACCCTAAAACCCTAAAACCCTAAAACCCTAAAACCCTAAACCCTAAACCCTAACCCCTGAACTCTTATGGCGTCTCTCTGATTGTGGGTGCCTCTTAGGTGCCTGGCCAAGGCCAGGAGCCGGAGGAGGTCCCGAGGCCTCCAGGAAGCCATCCGACCCGTCAGCGCCTTCGACGCCAAGGAGAGATGCGACGCGCAAGAAAGGAGAGGGTTTAGGGTTTAAGGGCGTTTAGGGCTTAGGGCTTAGGGCTTAGGGCTTAGGGTTTGGGGAGCCAAACAAAGACAACCAACCCTGAACGTGCTTCAAAAAGCCCTTCAGCAGCAACAAGCTCTCGAGCGAAAACCACACCCTGAAGGGACAGGGATTGGCACGCACGGCAGCAAACATGACACGGTCTTGACCTCCAGGTGCTTGGCTTCTTTGACCTGCACGAAGGACTCAAAGTGAGAATGTGTGAAATTTATGAATGGGAGATGAGCGGGCAGCCTGCGCTGGAGACAGCTCGGTGGAAGCAGCCGCTGTTGCGTAGCCCTCCGTGCTGAGCCCATAGCCTTGCCAATGATCTGAGGTCAACTCCAGCAGGCTCTACAAGTAACAGCAAGCACACGCAATCTGCATGCTCAAGAAAAAGCTGTTCACAGGCACGACACGTAGCTTTGGCTTGGTGTTGCTGCAGGTCTGGCAATGTCCTCATCCAGGCCACAAAGAGGAAAGCAGCAAAGCAAATTTTCCCCAAAGACAAAATCAACCAGTCAAAACGAAGCGAGGACGTCTTATGCAGCAGTGGGTCCTGCAGCCAGCAGCTGCATTGCATAAGACCAGTGCCTGTCCACACCTCAGCTGAGGAGTCGGTGCAAATGCACCAGCAGATCGTAGCATGTCCATTATGCATTTTTAGCAGCATGTTGCCGTCAGCGTGTTGAGGCGACACCCCTGTTGAAATGTAACGTACGCTCGGAATTTCCAGCGCTTGAAAGTGCAACGAAAAAACTGAGCCCGGTGCCTATGAGAGGGGGATGGCTGACTGCCACCACGTCCTTTGCCAATCGCCTGGCTTCGTGCAACCACAGCACTCTGACATCTTCACCGAATCTTCGCTCTCGTCAGAAGCACACACCCTCAGCAAAGAGCCCTCGCAGAACCCCCTTTGCAACCGAAGGCACCGGAAGCATGAGGACCACTTCACCGAGTCGTGCCGAAGAGAGTCGATGGCAAAACGCCTGCACCAGCTTCGCTTGAACCAAAATCCACTGCACATTACTGGGTGTTGCCGGTGTTGCTGGCCTGTCGTCCATGTGGCGTTGGATGTCCATCGCTGCTATGTCCAACACGGATTCCGGTGGACGGCCCTGGCAGTGCAAGACGAGCGTAATTTATGCCTAGGATGCCGCTGGGCTATCAACACCACGCAGTCCTCTGCCAGGTGTAGTAGCGGGCCCTCTGTCATGCAGCAGTTCAGGCGTCGAACACCACGAACCACCACCACCTCGACTTGAGCTTCACCAGCGCAGGCTTCAGATCTGGTAGTCTGGGTAGCTACACCGGCCAGCCTCACTGTCAGTGAGCGGCTTGCTTCCGAGAACCAGCTTTGAGCAAAGCAACTCGGGCAATTCCCAGAGAGGCACCTTGCCAAGTGAAGAGAGAGAAGGGGCTTGTGAGAATTCATTCCATCGACCGACGGCGGAAAGCAAACCCAAAATCCCAAAAGGCCAACCTCCTCAGGAGGAGTCTTGACGTCTGCAATGGCTCCAAAGCTGCCAGCACCTGCTCGCAGCGGTTACCCGGTATGGGGTTGGGTGCTTGGGGCCTTGGGGGTTTCTTCACAAAGGTAGCAAGCACTCTAAGAGCCAGACTGCTCAGTAGAATGATTGCGCCTTGACAGCCTGGCCAACAATGTCTCCCAACAAACATGCGCTGCTGTGTCAGATGCCATGTCCCCTGCCGTCAAGGGCTGTGGCGAAATCAGCGGTGAAGGCTACTGCAGGAAGTTCCGCACCTGCATGCGAACAACTTTGCCCATTCTACTGGCTTGCATGTTCATTCAGGTCGAGGTCTGTGCAACTATGGATGAACCCACAAGCTAATCAAAAGTGGATGCCCATGTGCGTTGATAGCTTCCTTCACTTGCTTCTCTGCTGATTCGAGGCATTGTGCTCCGCCAACGTTCTCCGGGATCACTTTCTAGCGCGTGCTACTAGCATGGCCCAGTATGGCTCTCAAAAGCAGGCAGTACAGTCATGCGTGAATGGCTCGTCTAGAAGGCGCGCCTTCGTTTCCGGATTCCTCTTCGGCCCAACCGTCTGTCTCCTTGGCCGCTGGGTCCTTCTCAGAAATCTCACCAACATCTAAGCGTCGGCACGTGGAAGAATGCAATCAAACTCATTGTCCTGCACCTCACCTTTGCTTTCTTGGACTGGAGGACCTCCACCTCCGATCTCGGCAAACCAATAGCATCACGCAAAAAGAGAGGATGGCAAGAAGCCTCCATTCTCCTTCACCTCCTCTGACGGCGGCTCCTTCACGTCCTCTGACGGCGGCTCCTTCACCTCCTGTGACGGTGGCTCCTTCACCTCCTCGGACGGCGGCTCCTTCACCTCCTGTGCTGGTGGCTCCTTCACCTCTTCTGACGGCGGCTCCTTCACCTCTGACGGCGGCTCCTTCACCTCATGTGCCTGTGACGGCGGCTCCTTCACCTCCTGTGACGGCGGCTCCTCTGACGGCGGCGCCTTCACCTCCTCCGACGGCGGACCTGAGCTTGACTTCGACTGCTGTTGCACTGTGCTTGCAGAGCGCTTGCAAAGCTTTGAGTAAGGTTGCAAAGCCAAGCTCGGGACTGATGGGATCTGGAAGGTACGATCGAACGGTTTCATCGGAGGATACCGCTCTTTCAAAAACGATGTTGCGGTCACTCGCCTTCCCAGCCGCACAACTGCATGACATGGCATAACATTGCATACACCACACCACTTCAAGCGCTTGCTCCCAAGCAAACGCAGACACAACTGCAGCAGGAAGCGCCTCCGAGCCCAAGTGGAAGTAGGCAAGCAGGCACAAGATTTTCTGGGGGGCGGCCTGCACCAAGAAAGTGCTACGTGCTGCGCATGGCAGACGGATGTGGCTGACACCAGGGAAGAGAGACCCAGCCCGCCTTTGCCGAAGACAGGTACAGCTTCTGCAAATCAAAGAAGCCTTGCACGTTTAGCCTGGCCACCGTGCAGCAGGGTGCGGGCTTCGTCAATAGAGTGGGACGGCTCCTTTCTTCGGTGGTGTGCTGGGGTCTGGGAGCCTGTAGTCTTATTCTGAACTACACAGCGAAGAGTGTAGTCTTTGTGTCTGTTGGGTGGGTGCGGGTGGGCGTGGTGTTCCCCGGTCCTCTTGCTCAGAATACTCCCAAGACCGGCATGATCCAGCGGAGACCGAAGCAAAGTCAGAACAATGAGTCTGGGCCGAAAATCCGCTTAAATGGAGCATGGAGGCTGTCAAGCTTCGGAGCTGGCACTGAGCTGGCTTATTGACATTTAAAAGATACTCTCCTGGTCCGAAGACAACATGCCAGCTGCACAAGGCCGCATTGGCAAGCAAGGAGTAAACACTGGAGGCCGAGAGCGTAACGACCTGGCGAATCAAAGACTACAATCATGCGCTGGGGTTCGTAGGGTGACCTGATATTCGGCACCTTGTCCACTGGATTCTCGTCGGCCTCAGACACCGCTCCTGCATGCTGCGACTGCCACTCAAAGCATGGGAAAGAAAGTCTCTGATCACCCAGTCCGCTCCTGCTTTGGGAGACACTTTGTCATCTGAGGCCTCACTCTGCATCTCCAACTGCTGAGGATCTGAAAATCTGCGCTCAAGGCATCAACCTCTGCAACTGGCTCACGTCGGATGCGACATGGCCTTGCAACCTGCGACCGGACACAAATGGAGTGGGCGTGCAACGTCCCATACAATGACAATCTATGCTTTGTGTCTTGGCGGGGTGCTTTTCTTGGCAGCACATTCCCTTTTCGAATGTGCGTGTGCGCTTCCACTCAAACAGACTTCTCAACGAATTGGCCACATGCCTCCACCCTCCTAGGAAAGTTTTGCGGCTGCTCACTACTTCTACGGCTAAAGTCGCATGCACACAACTTCCCTCCTTTCGTTTCTTCTCGGACTCTGCTTCTTTTGTGGCAGAAGTGTTGAACTCTCGGGGTTGTCGACTCCACGTAAAGTTCAGGAGATAAGCATCCCCCCTGTGGAGTGTTTTTGTCCAATCACCGGCCAACGCGTCGATGGTACCCAAGCCACTTTGGCATTTTGGTTGCTGTAACTTCTCGGGCGAAGGTGTCAGGTTTGCTTCGAACATGCAATCTGATTCACCGACCAAGGTGTCAGGAGTGATGCCCTGACAAAGAACCGATTGTCCATCTGTCCTAAGAAAAGCTTCGTGCTTCGCCTGCCGTATGAGTCATTCTCTTGCGCCCCCGAACTCTAAGACAAGAAGACCACAGCGTGAATGCCTTTTCCATTGTACAGTTTGTCTGTGGGCGGACCACCCCACTTCTGAGGGCGGTGCCAGAACAAGACATGCGGAGGCACGTACATGCCAACATGCCTTTTCCATGGTGCTGAAGTGCGATCGTTCCTTAAGCTCGGCTCGTAGTGTGTTATAGTGGCTTTCAACCAAGCCGCCTGCTGAACCAGCAAAAAAACTGCCACTGCGACCCTTATTTGGAGAAGCCAGCCCACGTAGATTAAGAACAACGTGGTCAGAGCACTGGCCGGGCAACCACCCCTCACCCAGCTCAAGTTCTTTGGGCATGTTCTCAGGGCGGACCGTTTCGGAGAGGAACTGTTGTTTCACTGCTAGTTTCAGCTACAGGGGAAGCACCATAGGCGCGGATCTAAGACCGGGAAGACGACGCCTACATTGGGCTGAACAGTGTGCTGAGTTGGCTTTCCACTATCTCAAGTACACAGTTCACTTACAGTGCACCAATGCCCCAACATTTTCCCATGCATATCTCGTTCTCCACAGGTTGGCTGCTAACCGCCTCATTTGGAGTCGACTTTCAGAGTTGCCAACGTGCAGGTCTCTACTTAAGGCAACTCAGTTCCCAGTTCTCTCACAGTGACTTCTCGTCTTTCTGTACTGATTCGTCATTGGTGGAGTTGCATAAGGCCGCCCCTCAACAAAAAAAACCCACGCAGACCAAACGTGTCGGCCTTGGGCTGCGGGGGTACAGGGAGCTGCGCAGCCGCTCTGCTTTCATCCTGGCGCGCAAACCAGAGTGAACGACGCATGCTGAACGATGCGGAGCGCACAACTCGTAGCATTCGGAGCTTTTTGGGAGATGCGTGTGTGCACAGTGACAGAGTGCGCATCGGCAGATGGCACACAGAGCTGCCAAAGTTGCTGGTGCGGCCGCCAGCTCAGCGGCCGCCTTCAGCAATGCCGGCACCTGGGGATTGCCAGACACGAATTGGCAGGAAACATAAAAACAACATCAACAACATGAACAACCTACACAACATACGATTCTGGGAGAGACCGCCTAAGAATGTGCTGAGCTTGCGTGAATTTGCGCGAAAGGAATTCTGTCACTCCGGGAACCTGGCTACGGACGTAAACGGGTCCTGGCCTCAGCCCAAACACGATGGCAAGGTGGCATGCCGCACGGAGATGTAAGCGGAACATCCCGAGAGCAAAGGCCGGGTTTGAGATGTCGTGATACCGGGATGCAGGGGCACTTCGGCCAAGGGTGTGCTCAGCCCATCACAACACATGCGCTGCGAACATGTACCATGAAGAGAAACCTCCTGAATGAATCGCTGAAGTCCTGAATAAGGATCTGTGCGAACAGAATCATAGCTGAGCTCGCGGGCCAAAGCGTTCAGCGAAGAGGGTCAAAGCCTTCAGAGATGCCAAGGTGATACAAAGAGGGTCCCCATAAACAACCTCGGATCAGCGGATGTGGCCTCCTTAAGCCGCTTGTACTTGGCGAAGCGAGGCATCTGAAGCAGGGTCCGAATCGTGCAAGCTGGTGCAAGATGGCGCAGCATGGTGCAACATGGTGCAAAGATCAACATGCTCAAAGATCCAAGTCGAAAAAATGACAACATCAAGTGAGAAGCAGGAACGCTGCATGTGCAGGATTCGCACACTGAGAAGGCGGATTCGCTCACCGGCAGATTGGCACAGCTGAGTGCATTAAAGCCTTAAAACCCCTCAACCCTAAAACCCTGAGCCACAAAGACCCTCAGCCCTGAGAACCCTAACAATCGACAGTTTAGCTGGGGTGGTAGGGGGCCCAAATCGCCAGTGAGCCGGAGTTCGCTGGGGTGGTAAAGGGCACGAAAACGTCAGTGCTTGCATCGGGAATTGTGCTTGAATCGCTCATCCTCGAATCGGCAGTGCTCAAACCAGCTCTTGAATCAGCAGTTGTGCTTGAACCGCGCGGTTAACATGAATCGCAGCTGGCCGCATGCTACTCCCTGACTCCCTGGCATGTTCCAGCCAAGCGCCTCCTTTGGAATCTCCTTTGGAGCCTCAGATGCCGCCTCGGTTTCAGGCCTCAGCGGCGCCCCCAATTCTCGCGGTCTCTCTCCCTGTTGCTTGCAGATATTGGGCTCTCCACGACTTCAATGTACATGTCGGAAAGATGCCCAGAGGCCACAGCTGATCACCTTCCTTGCCTTCCCCTCCGTCTTTGCCCGTTTCTCCTCAGAGTTCACTCATAGAATGCTGAGAACGGCTAGGACACAAGTGCTGCCGAATGTTGTGCTCCCGGCGCTCTGCATCCTTCGCGTACAGAAACGCTTTGCGAAAGCTCCGTGAGCCATGTGTGGGGAATCTGCATTAGCAGTTCTGAAGTCCTTCGGAGGCTCGTCTTTGGCTGGCGGATGCAATGAGACGGTTGGCAAAGGCCTTAGCTTCCAAAGAGTCTAAGCCCTTTAAGGACTCGACTGCTGCTTGGACTTAAGTTCAGCTCTCTCCATCGAAGGTGCGAATCCTGGATGAAGCCCAGATTGCAGCGTCAACTTTTGATGTGAGAGCCCACACATACTGCTCAGCAGTTGCAAGGAAGGCACCAAGTGTCGAGGACCAAGAACTTTGCCTCGAAGTCTGCAGCATCGTCCAGCGCTTGTGCCTTACATGGAGGTGTAAGGCATACATCAACACTGAAACAAGTCTCACATGCTCAGGCCGCAACACAATCTGTGCAAGCTTGGCGCAGATTGGACCCGCGCAACCGCAGCAAGAAGGACTTCGCGTCCTGCGGCGAGACGCTTAGCATACTAAACTCTGTAAAAACTCGATGGCTGTGGCCGGCTATGCCCTTTGCAACACTAGGCCGTGCACAAGGGTTGTAGGAAACGGGCCTGCTTAGGCTGAGGAGCTGTCCTTTGTTATCGAGTGCCACGATTAAGTCACAACAGCTTCCCAGCCCCATGTAAGCTTTCCCTCGACGTGCACGAGACCACATAGGTCACATAGCCTGAACCCTTGCAGACCTCACTCCCGGCCTTAGGGTGGGACTTACGCACCCTACACGTGCAAGGTAAAACCAACGCCCACGCATATCCTCGTAAAACCTACGTGCGGCTGTGAGAGCGAGAGAGAGGGAGAGAGGGAGGGAGAGGGAGAGGGAGAGAGAGAGAGAGAGTGAGAGCGAGAAAGCAAGAGTGAGAATTTTGGAACGATGCGCACTTGCACGGATTCGCAAGCAGCCGCGTTCCTCTGTCTTCTTTGCCGTGTCGCCTGCCGAAGGCCGACGAGACTGTGCAAACAGGAAAAGTAAATCGCGAAAGACTTTCATGCCTTGCAGAAGTCTGGAATTGATCAAGCGCGACTCAGTCGCAAAGCAAAGCGAAACAACAAAGCCAAGCCAAGCGAAGCCAAGCCAAGCGAAGCGAGGCGAAGCAAAACAAAGCAAAGCAAGGCCAAGCCCATCCCAGCCCAACGCACCAGCGAAAGCAAAGAGCAAAGAAAAAGCAAACACAAAAGCAAAAACTAAAGCGCAAAAGCGAAAACGAGTGCAAATGCAAAAACAAAGCAAAAGCAAAAGCGAAAGCGCAAAAGCGAAAGCGAGAGCAAAAGCAAACGCACAGAAAACAAAGCAATAGCAAAACCCAATCAAAAGCAAATACAAAGCAAAAGCAAAAGCCAAAACAAAAGCCACAGCAAAGCGAATGCAAAAGCAAAAGCAAGAGCAAGAGCAAAAGCAAAAGCAAAGCAATGCAAAGAAGGCTCAGGGGCATTTGGCACCAGGGCAATGACGGGGCCTTTGGCTGGCTCAGGTGGCTCCATTTGCATGGCATGTGGCACGAGGCAGGAACTGCCTAACTTACAAATCTAACGCGTGGGTAGTCGTAGCTGGGCAACTACCGTCAGCAGGTCTGGTTGGCTAAACAGCGGCGCCAGTGTCGCAACACCGACTGGAAGGTTTCTACCGATTCCATCTAGTTCCGTGACTCAATGGAAGGCCATGTTGGGCCAATTGCGGGACAGGGTGCTGAGCTCACGTTGCAGCAGGGCATGCGCCAGGTAGTTGTATCATCACTCAGGCAGCAACATCTAGCCGAGCTGAGAATACAATGGGCGCACAACAGGGAGCAGGCTTTTTGCGACTGCACCGATGGAAGGCCCTCTCTCCCTGACGCTGCTGAAGGATGGAATATGATGCAATCACGCAGGTTTTCACTGCATGCCGGCGCCGACGCCGGTGCAACAAGCCAGCCACAGCTCTGAGGAGACCCAGGCACTCCCACTCCTAGCAAATTGGCCGCTATAAGGCCATAACTGGTATCTACGGGACCTGATTCAGCTCAAACAAGGTGAAGGACCTGGCGACGATGCACAAAGGACACATGTTTTGCCACAAGGGACAGGCCGGCCGTACGTTTGTAAACCTTGGTACTCGATCACCCGAGCCACCTTCCGCAATGAGAAGGGGGGAAGCTCATAGTCATACTTGATGTAGGTCCTTGCAGGCCGAACGTTCTGGTCCGAATGGGGCTGCAACTCGTTTTGAGATCCAAGTCTCGTATGGCACGTCTTCTCGGCACCAACGAAGTTGTCCACCTCTTCATGCACCTGCACGCACTGCGGCAAAATCGTACCAAGCGCAGCCGACTGCATGCACAGGCGCTCAAATATCCTCGCAAAAGCTCGCCATGTTCTTGCTGGGAAAGCGGCATTTGTAAGCAAATATCGCGCTCCAGTGGCTGCGAATTGCTGTAGAGCTTTCTGCGCATCCACAAGATGCATATGGTTCACCCTGAGCAGCATAGATGTGGGCCACAAGAACCAGCACTTTTAAAATGCCACTCCAGTTACAGGTGCTGCACATGGCAAGACCTGCCGCGACATTGGACCGCATCTGAGACTTCGGCGTTTCTTTCGAAAAGATTAGCTCGGCTCCTTTCGGAAGAGGAATCTCGGACAAGTCCTGTGTGCACATCTCTGCGCGCCCGTCACTGGCACTTGCTGCTAGGAGCACAAACCACACATCATCCCCACGCTCACCACCACCCCCACCACCATCACCACCACCGCTGCCACCGCCACCGACAAGGTCGCCTTCACACCGCCACAACTTCCCGAAGCACAGCGCCGCCATCACAATTATGACGCTATCATGCCTTGCAGGTCCTGTGAGATGAAGTTGACATCAGGGTGGCGCTGCCTGTTCCTGGCAATCACGTCCGAAACGACATCCTGGGCGCGTTGGGCGCTTCAACTTGAATGACTCCACACGACACTGCTCTGACCGGTATGAGAAATCCTTGGCTGGCGTGCCACACCGGTGTACTGGATTTCAGGATGCTTGGCGACAAAGAACGGAACCATCCTGGTGCAGGAGCAGGATGTACCAATGTGGCCGTTCAAGGAGGTTCTTGCGCTTGCAGGCTTGGCGAAGTTTTTCGGCTCAGCGCGGTACCAAGTCGCGTCCCCACAGGCACAGTCCAGCATGGAGCGGATGCCGAAGGCCTCGATCACCGCCTTTCGTAGTTCAGCAGAATGCAGCAGAACACTCGCGCAGTTCAGTTACACAAGGCGTAGCAGTGCCAACTTCCTTTCAGTCCCAATGGTGGGAACACTCAAACAGCGCCGCTCCTCCAACGCGGTGACAGCCAAACGAGCTTCCGGACTCCATAGGTCAGAGCCTGGCACAGGCTTCGCCCCTAGTTTAAGATACTGTCCTAGCAAAAAGCGTGAATGCGCAAACCTAAAGAGTTAAAGAGATCAAGGCAGGGCAATGCCACCACAACCCCGGGCTTTTGATGTACGTCACTGCCGTCCCTGCGAGTGCTCAAATAACCCCTCGTCCCAGAGCCCTAGCATCCGCTTTGGAAGCAAGTGAGACGTATTGCTGACTCCTTCACTTAACTTTGGCGGGCCTGTTCCTGATCGCGACACGTCACTGCCCCAAACCTAGGATACAAAGGACAAGCCCAAGCAACTCAAGCACACTGCGTTGCAAAGCTGGACATGTTAGACTCTGCATTCACGAGCTCCCGGCATTGTACTCGTACACGATCGAGTACGCTTTGTCCTGCGGTGCAGAAGCCGGAAGGAAGGCCGGAGGCGAAGCGGCTCTCGGCTGTCCTTGAGAGCTGCGCGAGTCAGCCTTTCCTGCTCATCCTCGAAGCCCAAGTCCTGCTTTCAGCTTAAAAACGGACCATTCGTCAAGGGAAACCTCAACCAGCAGCTTTAAAGTCCAACACATCTCAACCAGGCATCTTGAAGTTAATTGATCGCATTTTTGTTCGAAGCCTGGATGGTTTCTCGACCCCATTGACAGAACATGTCTGGGTGGTATCTTTTCAAAACCTGGATGTCTTCCCGATCCCGTGGATAAAATATAGTTGGGGGTGGAGGGGTGTACACGCCAAGCGTCTTGATGCCTTTGGGGGTGAGGGGGGAAGGGCTGAAATGATAGACCTGCGTTCGCCAAGAGGCTTCAGGGTTGGTTAGTAGGTGCCCTTTTGCTGCGCAGCTCCTTCCCGATCTATGGCTTCCACCCTCAAGCCGGACCCCAACTCGTCATGTTTTACACCACACCACACGCAGAGCAGTCCTGTTGCAGAACGCTCGCTCCTTGTGAGGACGTCATTGCCTTGCAAGTTCTGTGCTTCGAATAGAGCCAATGGTCAAAATGCAGGAAGCCAAGCTGAAAGCGTGATCGCAGAGAGTTGGCTTGAGCCTTGGACTCACTCATGAGTAGGCGACTGTAAACTGGAAAAACGAGACGCGTTGGAGCGCAACCACTCAGGAGATCGCATCAGCCCGTCAGCATCTCCGAAAGCGGGACCTGCTGCGCGCCATGCGGTCCCTTCAAGAGACTCCAAACCCACACACAGGCCTGTCGTGGCCAGAGCTGCGTCCTGCAAAAAACTGCAGGCGCTTATGAGGCTTGCACTGCGCGGCAGGACTTCTCACAAGAAAGAGCAAAGAGCAGTCCTCTGCTGGAACCCAGAAGCTTTCCCAGTACATCCAAGTGTCATCTCCGGTGGTCTCAGCAGCGACGCATTGGCGAGAAAGCAAAAACATGACTGGAAGCGCTCCCTGAGCTGAGGCACCCAATAGCGATTGGGGTCCTTCTCGTCCAACTTTTCCCAACCTCATCCGGGGACTCAGGACCACTGACCAGAATTCTGACTATGACCTCGATCGTGAGGTGCGAGCGCCAAACGGCCGCCGTAAGCTGTGCCTGCTGGGGGAGGGCAGCTTTCGTTGTAGAAAATGGAAGTTGGTGCCGCCGCGGCCTTGTCCGAACACTTTGTCAGTCGAATGCACGCATCGCTGAGCGGATCCTTGACGAAAGCACGAGCCAAGGGCACGTTCGTTGACGACTGCACACGTCTTGACGCATTTACACACTCGGGTGGCGACAAGGCTTTGCTCACCATCTCTAACAGGCAAGCCTCTGCACCACTTGCGACACTAGACTAGATCATGCAAAACCCTCATCATGTGTGCAGTCAGTGCAGGTCTTCCTCCTGTCTTCCCAAACATCCACCAAAGAGATATCTGAGATTCTCAGCATTACTGGCCTCCAGTCTGCATCGCAGCCGTTGCCTCTCAGAACAGATTCTCGGGACAAGGCGTTTACGTAAGGTATGGCTGGTCACTGTTTAGTCCAATATGCTTGGGGGGGTTGAAGTTGTGATCCTGGTACTCGTCGGCCACTGTCTCCACATCTGCCACGCGTCGCCAGACCACCTAAGAGTTCGAAGCTGCCACATAATCGTCGTCTCACTTCGCTGAGTTGTTCACTTTAATCACTTTAATCACATTAAGCGCCACTCTTTGCCTGGGGACTCCGGCCAGGTGTTCTGCACCAAGTCGTGGCGCGACAAATGCAAAGAAACCTTTCGTCTCAAGATTTTGTAGCCCACACTCACCACATTCTGAATGCACTCTCGTGCACGACTCACACAGCAAAGCCAAGCCCGCCACGTGTGTCGCCCAAGCGGACTTCTCTTGTGCCCGGCCTGAAAGTTCACAGGGTCTGCCAGGCACAGCCAGCAAAGTGCTGCACAGCAAGTTGTTGCAACTTCTTGGGCACGGACATGTGCTGCGAGTACGCGTCAAATGCTAGAAAGGCGTCCGCCTGACACTGTGCGCCGTGCGCCGTGCTCCAAAATCTAGAACTCCATCCATCATTCATCGAACACTTGTCATACCCAAACACCTAAGCGCGCCGCACTTCTTTGCTTTGAGACGGTCGCCGTGCCGTCTGGAAGTTTGCAGACCTTCCCCGACACCCTTGAACTCTTACATCGCATCGGGGTGCATTGCCAAGGCTGCCGCCCAGAATCGCGTGTCCGGCCATGGAACGGCCCGTGCTATACCTGGACAGCTGTGCACGCCGCGAGAAAGCTTGTCTCTCTCACAGGAGTTTCGCGGCACGGGTTCGTCCTCATGCAGCATCTTCCCAAGGCCATGGCTTCGTTGGCGGCTCACCTGGGACAGCGGCCGACCCAGGACCTGCTGGAGTGCTTCTGCCGGCTTGGAAAGGGGTTGGGCTGGTCTTCTCTTCTCACGCTCCTCGTCTCGCCTCGCACTTTCTTGCTGCTAGCTTGATGCTCAAGCGCACGAATCCACTTCCGGTCCAGGTGTTATTGCTCCCCTCTTCAGTCAAGGGGTCACGACTCTCATCCGACCGCCTAGGGTCTTCACCAGGCAACGGCACACCCTCAATTCCACAAGGTTCCCCCCATCCTGGTTGGTGACACCAGTCGGCTGAGTCGAGGGACTATTCCCTGTGCATGCCACTACGCACTTGACTCCCTAATCTGTTCCTCATCTCTCTAGGTCTCTCACTGTCATCTCCTCTGTCAGAGGCCAAGTTTCGACGAGACACAGCAGCGGTTGCTGTGGCGGTGGCCGCAATGAGTGGTAGACCTGGTAAGGCACAGCCATCCAAGGTCTGCCAAAGTGCTTCTTGTATGGTATACCCCAGAAGCCCTACTTGAGATCATTGCAGAGTTTAGCATTTTCTCAGGGCTTACGCTAGAAAATGTAAAATCTTTAATGGCTGTCGTGGCTTCATTCATTCGGCAGCAGGATCGACGTAATGGTCTCAAGCGCTGGGAACGACTCTCAATGAAGGAGCTAACCGCAACCAGTTGCACATTCAGGTCAAGAGTCAAAAGACCTTCTTCAGGTTCACGGCTCGCCTTTCGTCATACATCAACATAAACTGCAGTCTTTACTATCATGGTAACATTGGGGGGTCGGGCTTTGGTCGAGCTGGACTTCAAATCCTTACTTACCCTGCCCTTTGGGTTTGGATTGCTGTGAATGCTGAACTGACAGCGCCTCGCGTCCTCGCCGGGCGCGTCGGTGGAAGCAAGAGCCGTGCAGGTGTCGGGCGCGGCCCGCGCGGTCCGCAGCGGGCTGCGGTCGCCAGGGCTGCCATTGCGAAAACGTGGGACGTGATCCACGGCTGTAGTAGGAGTTGTAGCCCAGGTGAGTGCGTGGAACTTCGAAGCTCGTGGCGACTCATGGTAGGGACGTCGTCTATCTCGAAACAAGGCTCCACAAGCCACGCGCAAAGCTCCAACGTCACTTCTGCATTTTCTTGGGCGGGGTCTTGAAAGAGCCACGCAACTGAAGCATCGAACAAGGAAGACTCGAAGGGCCTCTTTTCAGGGTGCGAACGCCGCTGTCAGGTTGTCCGCTGGGATCGGCCGCTGGGATTCGGCTATGTACAAATATGAGTGTGCTGACTGAGTGAAAGTCGCATGCTGTCCGCTTCCTCTTCCGGAAGACAGAGCGAGAAGGCGAGAAGTCCGACATTGGTCATTCGGGAGCTCACTGTCTGAGGGTGAACGGAAAAATTCCGGAAAGAGCAGATGAATCAGCAAGTTTTGTCAAGTCTTCCAGCCCATTTATGTCGCACATACCGAGGAGAAGATCAGCCGAAATGGCTGCCCACTATTCCTCGAGTCTCCTTGATGTTGGGATTCGGATCCTTCGGAAAATCACGAATGCGCAACTTGAAGTACCTTCCACTTGCAGATTGCAACGCAAGCACGGTCACCTATGCAGATCGCCCACTGTGTGTGAATCCCAGCAACGGCGCACGTAGCCGTTCGAATCATCTTGAGGATGTCGTGCCGGTGGACAAACTCTATCTTGTTGGTGTTCCTCAGAAGTTTGCAGCCATGTGAGCTCGTGCAAGGAACTGTCCACACTGTTTCCGGGCAGCCCGCTGGTCTTTGCGTAAAGACTCAGGCCTCTACCTTTTCTGTTGCGGACTCCGTCTGCGCTTTTTCCTGACATGTTCGTCAGCCACAGGTTCGCTACAAGAGCAAGGACAGGAAGGATGACAAAAGTAACACCGGAAGAACGGTGCAAGCACAATAACACGAAGGGACAAGCGCAACAAAGAGCATAACGACCAGAAGAAGACAAGGTGCGCAAAGAAGGCCGCGAAAGGGTTCACATGCTGTTCGGTACGTTCAAAACCACAAGTTTCGTGCGCTGACGTTTTAATTTGTGAGAGTGTCCCTCGCTTCGAGCACACCTGCTCGGAAGCACAGATTCAGTGTAGAGACTAGAGTCTGGAGTCTGTTCCTTTACCTTGCACTGCGAAAGTCGAATGGGACGCTTTGGTCACGGATGCAATCAAGGGTGACACGGACATAGTCAAGCAGCAGCAGCAGCAGCAGCAGCAGCAGCAGCAGCAGCAGCAGCAGCAGCAACGACCACAATCACAACAACAACGACGACAACGACAATGACAACGTGTCAGCAAGGCCCATCTCGAAGATGCGCTCGACGGCGCTCCCATCCGAAACGCGTCAACCGAAACCGCTTCAGCACCTGCACCACGAAGGATTAGCTTCATGGCACAAGCTGCACAGTTCCCCATTGTGGCCTCTGCATGATTTCGGTTCTTCGTGGTCCGCATCTTGATCTCTTGTTTGAGAACCTAAGGAACCCAGAGTTGACAGAGTCACACTAGCTCAAACATCTTCCGGGAAGGTTTTAGTCTCTCATTCTCAGATCCTGGCTTGCGTTCTCACGCGGAACCATGGAATCACCCTCCGCAAGTTGTACCTGAAGCACCGCTGACCAATTAATCCGCACCAGCTGCGGCGTCAAAAACAGGACTTGGCGCACGCCCGCACCTGCATCGCTTGCGCTTTTACAGGCGCCGGTTGCCACGGCCTACATGGCAAGATCACCACACCAGTCGCGATATCAAGAGGCTCAGTGCGGCCGACCTCATGCTCGGCATCACTCTGGACAAAGGCAGCGGCCTGATCAGGAGCATCCTGCTTCCCCAAGCCCTTCAAAGTCAACCCCACTGAACATTCTGTCTGATAGGGGGGGTTTCCTCATCATGAGGGATGGGATCCCAAGAGTCGACAGGAAGCACAACCCGCATGGTCTGATGCTTCGAAGCACCCTCTGGAAGCTGAGAAAGCGGCCCCATGGAGCCGGAGCGTGGAGACAAGGACACGAAGGCCCTCGAGGCACCTCGCGCAGGTTCGTTCATCTCTCCCCGGCATGAGATTGATACTCTGATACATCAGACTCATCAGACATGGCAGAGCCAAGGGCACCAGTTTTGCATGCACTCCTCTGGGGAATCGCTGCGGCCATGCAACTCGCAACTCGCCTTGTGGGGCAGCACGCCAGATGTGCAAATCCAGCACCAGCTTTTTGGATAGACCATGCAGCAAAAGAATTCTTTAACGTGCCAGAGCCACAGTGATCGCGCGACCCACATGGCGACGGTCTCTTGATAGCTGGGTACGACCCCGGTTTGATGTGTTGTCTTGTCTGATGGTCTGCCTGGCAAGTCTTCTATAGAGCTGCGCTGATACTTGGAGAAAGTCTGCTTTCCAAGTTAACAGCCTCTTCAGCCTGTCTCTTCAGACATCCGTCCGACGGCATGCAAGTGTGAGCGACTTTGGCAACCGAATTCCAGCTTCGCACACCAACTGTACTGCTTACGGTGCATGGCGAATCTCACAGCGTGCACACAAAGAGCCAAGCCGTCCCCTCTGTTCGAAGCCAGCGTTTGTCGCGGTGGGTGAATGCTCGTCGAATCAATCACGCTGTCTCCGCCAGCGGCGGGTGCAAGTTGTGTGTACATGCAGCAGCGTCCTTGCAACGTTTGAGCGTGCCCGCTGCCGCTCTCTTCCTACACTAGGTCCTGAGCCCGTCCTGAGCCCCCTGTACGAGCACTGGGGCAACCTGAACCGTGAAGCCTACAAAGAGTTCGTGCTGATGCAACGCGCTGTCGCATCAGTCATCATGAATCGCTTCGATCGTCGGCGTGTGCCGCTGTACCCCTAGAAGCAGTCGAAGGAATCTAAGGCATTCCAAATGACAGATCGCCTTGGCTCTTTGCACACTTTGGGGCTCTTCCTCATGCTCATGAGGAGGACAGCGCCGGGCTGGAAACAAGATGCAGCCGAGGCTCCCATGCGAGAGTCGCAGTTGGCAGGATGTCTGTGAATGGGAGGAACTCTTCGAGTGCACCCAGCGAAGAGACAAGCCAGCTTCCGAAGAGATACCTCGGCTGCCCACGAGAAGGGCCCATGGTTGAGGGCAAACCCCCCCCAAGAGGAGTGCTCCAAGGTGCTGCAAGAGGAAGCCAGCAAATGGTGCCCACATGATGTCAGTCACCTGCGGCGAAAGGTGAACTTGGGGTCAAGGTTCTTTGGCTTTCGTACTCGAAACAAGATCACAGATGAAGAGGCTCAATGCTTGCGGGATATCACCAAAAGATCGCATCTCTGAAGCTAAACAACGATGCAAGTTCATGGACAACAAGGGCTGCTCTGGCACTTTCTAAGTTGCTGCTTTTGAGCTCCTTCGCCACGGCACGATGTGCCCAGCTAGCAAAGCTGGGTAGTTGCAACTTGCGGTGCGGAACGTTGTGCAACCATCCAGTCTGGTAAACGGGTCAATTTGGAAGCCTGGAGTTCATTGCTTCCAAGAGAACCTTTAGTTGCCACTGTTCAGCATGGCACTTGTGGTCAAGGGTAGTTGGGTTTGTTGCTGCTCGACGAACATCGCTGCATATCGCTGTTGCTATTGCCGTTTAGGACTTGTGCAGTGCTTCAAGGAGTACTATAGGCTGTCATGGGCAATGGTGCGGCACGGCTACTGCACTTTGCAAAGTAGAGTGTGCTGCCTGCGGTGGTGCACGGTGGTGCACGGTGGCCGTTGCACAGATGACCTCTCAAGTGCACTTTTAGGTGAGGTCCTTTGACACCAGTTCGACACCAGTTGAAACATTACAAAGCTCTTATTGGCTTGTGCTTTGAGGGCTAGGGTTTTGACACCCTGGTCCACTCCCTTTTTTCCTTGGAGTCTCAAATAAGACCTAGAAACGGAACCATAGCTTTTGCTATGTCCAGAATGTGGGCCACTCAAACTGTCACAAGAGTAGAAGAAGCTGCTGCAGTGCCGGTCTCTCGTCGCCAGTGGAGAACACATGCATTGTGATTATTCGTAGCAGCCGGCTCCATGGAAGCAGCATGTATTCGCACAGCAGCACGAGTAGCTGGAGCATGAGATGGAGGAGGAGCCGCAGCTGTAGGAGTGGGAGATGGCCCACAGGAGACAAAAGCACGCGCATCTTGAATCAACAGGCTCAGATGCAGGGCACAGCAGGGAGCAAGCAACACGCGCCAAGGGAATAAACAAGTAGACCCAACACTGCAGGCGGCTCATGTGGGCTTAGGCTTCCGAAACAAGCACCATGGGCCGATGACAGCCAAAAGAAAAGAGAGCAAGAGTGGAAAGCAGTGACGAAGACTGCGGGGGACAAGCAAGAAAGAAGCAATCATCTTCCACCAAGACGGAAAGAGCAGTAGAATCTGACGCATGATTTCTAGCAAGCAAGAGTTCACCAAACAAGCACGACTTTGATGTCATGTCTGCTCTCCCAAACCCAGGACCAGGACAGCCTCTCCGAGGATAAGAACAAGATAGCTGGCCATTCCTTGACACTGCCTACTCTGTGCCAAGGACATGCCCACGTGTCTAATCCGCAGATGTGCAATGAATTTCCAAGCTGAGCCAAGACGCCAATGAAGTCAATGAGGACGCAAGCTGCTAGTAGCAGCCATTTGTCGCTACGCACCTTCTCTGCAAACCCCGTAATGTCGAGCCGGATGGGGCTCCCGAAGCGCGACAGGTCCACAACAAATCTTCCCTCCAGGGCATCTCAGAACGCTACTCATCCGAGCACACCCTTGATTGTCTTCCCTGCCTGTTCATTGGGCCTTGTTGCGCCATCAGCCGTGGCCATTTCACAGATCTCAACAGGCGAAAGCTCCAGGACTATTCAGTCTTGAGCCGAAGGGCAGGCCCGGCCGGAGCCAATTTGTGGATACGCCTGTGCATTCCCTGAGCCTGTCAAAGCTGCGTGAGCGGTTGAGAATGCTTGACATGTGCTGGACGACCGCATCAGACGGACTTTGGCCGGGCTCGGATTGCCAGAGGCCGGGTGCAGTCTCTCAGTCGATCGACACCCCCATCGCAAGCGCTGCCTCTTCCACTGGCCTGTCAAAGGCTGGAAAAACGGCGAACGGCAAGACAAGGTCAACAGTGAGGGCAGAGGAATATTAACAAGAATGGACTCGATGCACCTGCTTAAAGTGTTTGGAGTCAAGCGGCCTTGGTCGCAGGATTGAATGTACCTCCTGAAGACCTCCTTCTCGTTCGGTGGACTGAGGCTGGACCAAATCACCGCACAACTGCACCACCCTTGAATGGCCTATGGAACCTTTATGGCGCTCGCTCTCTATGCAAGGCCACCGCACAAGACGTGTCGTCAAAAGCGCGCAGCGTTTGTCTTGAAGCTCGGGTCCAAAAATGGCAAGGGCCGAGTCGGGAAAGAGGCGAAAGGAAAATATGACGGGCGCGAGTCAAGACAGAACGGTACCAAGCCGAGTCGGAAAGTAGAGACACAGAGAGAAAGAAAGAGAGTTAAAAAACAGAAAAGAAGAGAGGGATAGAGAGAGAGAGGGTGGGAAAGAGGGGGAGTGGGAGTGGGAGTGGGAGTGGGAGTGAAGGTGACAGTGCGAGTGAGAGTGAAAGTGAGAGTGCGAGTGCGAGTGCGCGCGAGCACCAGGGCGAGTGCGAGTGAGAGTGAGAATGAGAGTGAGAGCGAGTGTGAGAGCTACGTGCAGGCTTGCGACTCTAAGCCCCACAAACCCTTGACCTTACAAGCCCCACCACGGAGTCATCCCTTGTGTTCGATAGGAACCCGACTACCATTCACTGGTTGTCTCACCGGTTAAACAGCTGTTCTTCAAACGTCTCAGAGCCCTTGAAGGCGAGACAGGGAAACGGAGGTGAGCGGCGGAAAGGTGAAATGTGAAGCGTTGCCACCGAAGCTGTCGCACTTTGGATGGCAGGTTCGGTGTTTGCTCATGCGTGTCGCGCCAAGACCCAACTAAATCTGGGCTTGAACGCAATTTCCGGGCGGAGGCCCCTGCGCCAGCATCATCGCACATCCCGGGCTCTGGGGGCTTATTGTGCGGGGTTCGGTGCAATCCACACTTTGGTTCGACCCCGCCAAATAACCTGCAGAAGCTCAGCAAGTGCCGGTTGGGGTGGCCAGCTTGAAACTGCCAGGTGAGGCCCTAAAGCACCACATGACAATGATTCTCTTGAAAGGGTCAGACAACATGTCATGTTTTGTCGTTTTGGGTGGCGGGATGGGCCAGGGCCCGGCAGGCATCACAAAGCCTCCCTGTCGAATCATGCCAGGCACGCGAGAGGCTCTTCGAAGATCCTCGCAAGAGATGCGCAGCCTGGCAGCATGGCATCTTAAGCTCGCTTCGACACCAGGAAGAACGGGCGCAGCGCAAGACGGGAGACTGGCCTTGATAGGTTGGCCAGTAAAGACCATGTCAGCATCGTTCAAGGCACGCACGTCCGCCTGCCAAAAGCGCAATGGCAGACATGGACAAGTGGCCTCGCGTGGCTTGTCTGGAAGATGAAGACGTGGCCTGCATCTCATGCGACTGCTGCTCCAGGGCGCTCTTGCCACACGACTGATCAAGGTCTTAGTGCCAGCCAGCAATTGCAGCGCGAAGAACAATCATGGAAGAAGAATACCACAAGCTTAGGTGACAGCTTTGCAAATACGACTCCGTCGAGGAGACCTCACGAGACTCTGCAATTGCTAGTGCTGCTACGGTGAGCTTTCGTGGGCATAGTTCAGGGATGTTCAAGGGGCTATCACGAGCCCACCTGCGAGTCGTAGACGTCCTTCATCGACGCACTTCGTCGCTGCCGTTTCGCATAGAAATCCCGGGTGAGCTCCAGTTTCCGCCCCTCTGCATCCAGCCTGGGGCGGGGGGGGGTGATGCGTCCAAAACCCCAAAAAACCGTGGACCATAGAGGGATGGATACTTCTCATACAGACGAGCATCAGACGAAAGAAAGCAGAGCAGAGGCCATTGTTTCGAGGAGATTCTGAATGATGATGGAACGGTCAGGCCCGTTTTGAGACGTCTCCGAGGTCCCGGCGCCGCTTGTAGATCGTGGGCCCGTCCCGCTACAATTTTGGCGGTGTCTGCGGACTCTTTCTGCAGGCCTCAGCATCTTGCACAGCAAGCAAAAGACTCCTTTCAGCATGCTCTCAGCATGCTCTCAGAACAAAATGAAACGCCGACCCGGCCTTCGCATGCCTGTGCCTGGAGCTCAAAAGACTGCTTGACGCCAGACAAGGACGTCCTTAGATGCCAAGCTTGTGCTTCCTTTGCCTCACACCTTTCCGACAGCTGACGCACATCAACTCTCTGCTTCGCCGAGCATCATGGCCGCATCCACCGGATTGCTAGTTGCGTGGCCTGGGCTTGCAACCAGTATGTTTCAGCATCTTTAGCCAACTGTGTTCGAAAGCAATCCACGCAGGCACTTCCGTACCGTATCCATCATTGAATGCGACTGTCTGCGCATCACCCTGTTTTAACGAAAGATAATGCGGCAGGTCAGTCAATCTCGCATCTAAATGGACAGCTAGCGAGGTGACAAGGGGAGCATGGGAACAGGAGACTGAAGTTCACCGAGCGCAGCTAGAGTATGCTAGAGTATCAGAGTGTTGAGTCGGCTGATCATGCTAATCGCAGGCTCATCCCCTGGGCCCTACATGGCCCTAAACGAATCTGAAAAAGATTCTCTGGCAGCCTTGGACAGAGTAAGAACGCTCTGTACATATGACAGGAGCTACAACTTCGATGTGTGTTCGCCGCAGTTTGGGGACTAGCCGACTAGCCCAGTTTTGACAGCAGAAGAGAACACCCTTCTCATTTTCTTAAAACGCGTCTCGTCCTAAGACCCGTGTCACGACACACCACTGGGCAAGTAGACTGCTATGCCGCTTCGATGGGCATATGAAATCCTAAGGACATTAACAAGTCATCTGTTTCTGCGGGGATCCAAACTGATTGAGCCGGGAGTTCGTCACCCAGCACTGGGCCAACTTGCTCCTGGCAACATCCGGATCCTTGGGATGGCATCGGAGATGGGCTCCATGAGCTCGGAGGCTTCTTCGGGGCCTGCACGCACGGCTGATCGCAACTGTGCGCCCTTTTTTGAGGTCGCGATTCCGACATTCAAGATCATTCCGCTGTTTCCTTGATAGTTTGCGGCAGTTTGGGATAACCCATTTTTTGGGTGGAGGTATACAAAAAGAAGAAGAAAAAACACGTTTCGGAAGCGGCATCGAGGGTAGTGTACCCCGACAAGGACCCACGGTCCCCACATCTCACAGGCGAAACAGTGCCAGGGCAAACAAAGCAAACTTGCAATTGAGTTCATGGCATTCTCAGACGAAGCCCAACTGCCTGCGGCTCTGCGATGGCAAAGGGGGACTGGAAGGACCGTGCCTTGGAACTTTCTTGGATACTTCTGGTACGAAGCAGGCTATGGATGAATGTTGCACCCCGGCGAGGATCTGCTCGCACTACGTCACTACGCTATGTGCTCGATCTTGGTCTTCGCGTCCGAGCTGCATGCGATCGGCGCAGCTCAAGGCCAATCTCTCGAGAAGCGCCCGCAACCTCTGCCTGCTTCACTTTCAGGGCCTGCAGTTCGCCTGAGGGGTACCCGGCCCGCTGCTTGCGTATGCTCAAATAACTCAGACAACTCGAGAAACTCTCAGGCGTGACGAGACAAGGCACGGTCTGCGGCTTCACGACGACGGCGCATGGAAGCTTCGCGAGGCGTCTCGAGCTTCGCAGCTTCGCGCTGCCTTGTTGGTGATGGCAGCCGCTTGCCTTATAGTTGGCGGAATGCGGTGGGACTCTCCAAGTTAACCGGTAACGGTCAGATCAGTGTAGCTGTGTTCTGTCTGTATCTCAGCCACAGGACTTTGTGCTGGACTGCGGCTGGAACTTGGACTGCGCAGGCCTGGCAGTGAACGACTCGAAAACATTCAGCTCTACGCAACGAAGCAAATCGATAGCAAATCGATGGCAAATCGAGAGGCCTTGTTGAGCTGCGGGAGAGCACAAGGTCTCGTTCGCACTGCTGTTCGCCTGATGCAAGGGAACGTGCAACAATCAACGCAGCACTCCACAATAATTTACACTGCACATTCTGCTGAGCAGCAGGAGAGTCGGAGACAGTGCCAAAACCGCGCTCACTCCTCAACGTGTCCTGCGACAGGCGTGGAACCAACAACTTACTTCGAGCCATGTATTGAAGGAGGGAGGGGGAAGGAAGGACAGAAGGAGCATTTGGGTGACGTGTCATGTTGGTCACATGACATGTGACGATTTCTTGTCCGACACGTGGCGCGTGCACGATGATCCTTGATACAATAAGGTATACAAGGTGTAATCTGGTGATGCTGTGTTATGCAGAGGCATTGTGGATGTGGTCAAGCCTTGATGCTGGTTCTGTGATACGAGACAACAGTGATGTGACAGGCTGGCACCACGACGTTCGCTTCCAGGCAGCGTTTCGGGTTGGTTGGTTGGTTGGCATTGCACAGGACGCACAAGACTGCAGGATTGCAGAAGGTTCGCTCCTCAGTGCTGATGGAAACATTGGACGAAACTGTCACGGTGCCAAGCATCTTCTCAGAGGCTGCCCTTGGCTGGCTGCTGAATATGCTAAACTGAGCTGAACCGCCCCTGCTGTCAATGAGAGTGGGCCACTGCATGCTCTTCCGTCACCAAACGTCTCCAAACACGTAGCCGAGACGCTCATGCGGATAAGCTCTAACACGAAGTGCCTCGCAGAGACAGCCCAGCAATGGCGAAAGCTCTTAGAGAAGTTCAGAAGAGCAGCAAGGAGCAGCAAGGAGCTTCAGAGCAGGTCTCGCGCCTCTCGGGGCGATGCCGACCGCAAGCCACTGGCGGCTTCCTCCAGGCTCCTGAGTGCAAGTCCGGCGTATCCTATTCTCGCGGCTTAGAAAGAAGTCATTCTAGGCCGACCTCTGAGCCAACTGAAAGGCTCAACTTGCCAAGTCTCGAAGAGGAGTTCCTGCGTGAGCTCTGGGGCGTTCTGCTGGCCTGCAGGGCGCAAAGGCGAGGAACGGGATACTCCACGAGCGCAAGCACGTACATCCGAATTCTGGCATGGGGACTGCGACTTTGTACTTACAGAAGATTTCAAGTAAGTATGTGTGGTTTCAGGCCTGTGTAAGACATCACTCGACGTGACAGAGTGACGGGCAGCGCCAGAGCAAGAAGAAAGGAAGGCAAAAATAGATGAATAGAACCGGGAACGCATTATAATGAGGCCTCGCCAGTGCTTTGGGCAGAGGCAGCAGCCTTCTTGGGTGTGCTGGCAAACGGCCCGCCTTGGGGGAAGAAAGCGCGAACAATGGACTCACATGGCATCGACCAAAAAATGTTTTTTACTAGCGCACTATCAGTCCCAGCAGCGAGATTGATAAGAGTTTCCTCGATCCTGTGTTCGGCGTGTGGCTTGCGACGGCCTTCAGCAACGCTTGGAATACTTGGGCATACTTGAGATTCACCACAAACAACTTGCAAACGTCCCCCGAGACCGCAGCTGTAGGTCCATCTTCCCTGGTGGAATTAAGTCCAGGAAGCCAATGCCGCCGGCTGCCAACTCCTTCACAAGGCGGCACAAAGCGGATAGAAAGTTGCACTGAGAGAGCACTCTCAGTGAACGAGCAGTGGATGTGTGTGCCTGACATGCAGAGATCATCACTCCTGGCCTCGGGAGATGGCATGTCCTGCGATTGCCGCTGTCCGCCACGCAGCGGCTTTGGTGTGGAGTTGATGACGCTCGTGACGAGCTTCAAAGAAGGTGATTTGGTCGGCTTGGAGGGCTTCAAGGTATTTACCGAGGTCTTCGAGACACTCGAGACCATCTGCGGCCTGGTAGGCTCCCTGACCTGTGCCTGGGGCTGCGACTGGGGATGCGCCTTGGGCTGTGGCTTGGATGGTGGGTTGCGCTGCGCCTCGGGCTGAACCTGGGGCTGCGCCTTGGGCTGGATCTTGGATTGGATCTTGTGCTGGATCTTGGACTGTGTTTGGGGCGGCGCCCCCGACAGCTTGGTCCTGCTTCGCTCAGGGCACTTCGTCTTCACGTTGCCTCGGATCCAGCCAGCCGGAATCAGATTGTGCAAAACAAAGGTATGGTGCAGATCAAGCCGGGAGCGCCGCGCTGGTTCAGTTTGCCTTTGTTACTTCCCAAGTGCCCTAAGCCCTTCAAAGATCCAACAGCTACAGAACAACACCAAAGCACAGGAGAACGCCCCTCTCGAACAGACAGGCTGCAGAGCCAAGGCTTCTCGTAACCACGGTCGGTCTGTGCTCCATTGGGCACTGCCTGGAGAGCTGGCGTTGACGTCGAGTGGCCATGAAAAGGCACCTTGATCGCAGAACCTGAGGACTGCCACTTTGGTGAAGGTCACAAACATGCACAGCCCTCAGGAAAAGCAGGAACCAGGCTCAAGCACCACGAGAGATTACAAGATGCCTGGCACAGTACCAACCCGCAGAGCCAGTTGTTGAAATCCAGGAGGCTGGACAAGGCATCTGGAGATGAAGCTCGCCTGCCCTGCCGCGCCAAGCGTGCCTCACACCATCTCACGCTACTGCTTTCACATGCGTGCGCTGCGAAGATCTGGCTGACTATGCTGCTGTGCATGGCCTCCTCTGCTGTTCTCGGGGAAGCCTTGCTCTGCAAAGGCACCGTCCTGTGCTGAGCAGAATCGATGACATCCACAAAGTCTGTCACCCTGTCACATCCTCTTGACAGATGCCGATGCTCGCATGGCTGCACAGGGGTAGGAGCGGCAGAACAAGGCAGTAGATGTCAAGCACGACCGAAAATTATGGTTGCTAGAGCTTGTTGCCGGGAGCTAAGCTGGCAATGTGTACCCAACTCAGCTGAGCCGAGACTTCACGGGGCTGCCCGAACAACTCAGCCACATGGATTCCGACAGATGCACACGCACTCGCGGAGATACCCGAAACAAAATCGCTCTTCAGGCGACAGGCCCGGGCCCCACCACTGGTCTCGAAGGCTCGTAAGGCCGGCCAGTGCTTTGCTGAGCACCTGGGTAATCGGAGGAGAATGCGCACTTGATTCGGGGTACCGTCACGCAAAGACTCACCGCTTCGATCATCCCTACCCAGAATTCTATTCTGCAGTACCCGTTCATGAATCGATGCCTTTGACGACAGGGGTTGAGCTTTTCTTGATTACGTCGCGACACGTTGTACAAGAAGCAAAAAAAAGCGAATGTGCCCTTTCTACGGGCTTTGCCGGGCTTCAGCTCAGGGGGGTCACAGCGTAGGAATGCTGAGGTGCGCTGTTTCAGGCGTTACTCTCGAAGAGCCCTCATCTCGTGACAGTGAAGTCTCAACTCGACATGTGTGCGTGTGTAGCAGTTGGTTCTGCCTGCTTATTGAGAACTCAGTTTGGCAGAGTTGCCCCATCTCACGCCGCCCAAACCACATTGGCATACAGCACCCGTCCGAGCCCCACTTGGCTGCTAATCGCATTCATGCCTGACCACCTGGCTTTGCATGTTTTGATGCCACTTCCCGCCTGCTGTGCTCCGCCTCTACACCTAGTAGTCCTACTTCTTGGGTGGGGAGCTTTTCCGAAAAAAACGTAGAACCCGGTGCCATCGTCCAGATGCCTTCACACTGACTTGCGTATCAACACTGTGCCGGCGGAATGCTCTCCACGGATGCCGCGCAGTACTGAAGCGCAATGTATCGACATGCAATACCCCAAGAGCATGCTCTGAGGATTATTGCCTCATGCAACCCCCGACTTGCAGGCACCACCGCGTGCGATCGCTGCACTTCCCGAAGCCGCGGCCTTGGCAGCAACTGTGTCATCCTGCCGCGTGGCATCCAACGCCTCTCGGGCACAGAACAGCCGGCCTAAGAAAACACCCCCCCCTCCCCCCCCCAGCGCAGAAATGACAACTGTAGTCGAACTACTGGCCGCATGATCCCACAGTGAGTCCACTGAGCAAGTCTGCGAAAAACTTCTACAACAGAAACAGCACAAAGTGAGATTCCTTTCTTGCTCGCTTCTAGCCCTACGCTCGCCACTGTATGAGAAGTGTATGTCTCCTAACATGGCTGCGCATGGCTGCTACCACACGTCGCAGTCCCTCATGTGCCTGCGACGTGTTGCTCGCTTCCTGGAGGATGGTGCGCATGGCCTGGGTGCACAAAAAAAGGCACATTCAACTCGTTGCATCGTTGATAGAGAGCACTGTCAGAACTCCTCTGCACTGCACGGACATCACGGCCAGCCCCGACGTGGTCACTCGGTCACGCACCCTGTCGCACTCCTCGCTCGTCGTTTGGATGTGCGCCAGCTCGTCTTGCAGCTGAGCCTGCACCGTAAACCCTAGTAAACCCTGGCCCTAAACCTTAACCCGAAATCCTAAACCCATGGTGCCCCCCATAGCCCGGCCCGGCCTTGATATGCTCATGTGCACGGGCATCGGCGCTGAACAGCATCGCCGATGTCCGCGCGGACTCGAGGCTCCCTTGCTCTCGTTTGCGCTCCTGTCAGTGATCGCAAGATCGCAAAGCCGAAGCAGTTCATCTGTCGTGCGTTGATTCAACAAAAGCCGACGCCAAAACATAATATGAGCGACATGCTCTGCGCCCGCATTGCTTGCCCTGACAAATCCGTATAGCAAAGCCTCTGCTGCTGGTTCTGCTGCTGCTGCTGTGCTGCTGCTTCTGCTGGTGCTGCTGGTTCTGCTAGTTCTGCTGGTTCTGCTGGTTCTGCTGGTTCTGCTGGTTCTGCTGGTTCTGCTGGTTCTGCTGGTTCTGCTGGTTCTGCTGGTTCTGCTGGTTCTGCTGGCTCTGCTGGCTCTGCTGGCTCTGCTGGCTCTGCTGGTTCTGCTGGTTCTGCTGGTTCTGCTGGTTCTGCTGGTTCTGCTGGTTCTGCTGGTTCTGCTGGTTCTGCTGGCTCTGCTGGCTCTGCTGGCTCTGCTGGCTCTGCTGGTTCTGCTGGTTCTGCTGGTTCTGCTGGTTCTGCTGGTTCTGCTGGTTCTGCTGCTGCTGCTGCTGCTGCTGCTGCTGCTGCTGCTGCTGCTGCTGCTGCTGCTGCTGCTGCTGCTGCTGCTGCTGCTGGTGGTGGTGGTGGTGGTGGTGGTGGTGGTGGTGTCGTTCCTGGTGATGTTTGATGCGACCCATCTGAACACGTTCGTACATTAAGGTGAGAGCCCGTCATGCCCGTCAATTGCGGATGAGTCTTCAACGCAACGTATAGACAGAAGTGCCCGTATGCTATAGAAACGAATACAGAGTTGGCAGATGCACTCGTCCCATGGCCTCATTGCACCATGACTCCTTCTTGGACCCTGAGGCATCTTCGAACGAACACACACGCACAGGCAAAAGAGCCCTGGTTCTTGCTCAGGCTGCGGCGCTCCAAGGTTTCATCACTATGCATCTTCGCCAGAAGCTCCACCACTCTGGGACGCTCCTGTGGCTGGGCCTCAGTGTAGCTAAGTCGTGCATGACAGCGCGCTGACTCACGCTTTTTGTCCTCCACAACTTATTGATGCGGGAGGCCCTGGATGTCCGTTGAGTTCTACTGGGTCAAGTTATGGAATACTCATCGCCTGATCTGAATCACAAACTTGTGCTCCTGAACTCCTGAAACACTGAGACTTGTGAGAAACTGGCTGGGAGAACGTCCTGCATCTGGGCCTCTGTTGACCTCACGAATGCTCAAGGGCGGCCTCTCAAAGTCAACAGACCCAGCCACGCGAGGCGCACCTGGACTGGAAAGGCAAGGACAGGTCGTCCATCTTGTCCTGCAGCCCACTACGGAATTTTTTGAAGCATTTCGAGATCCTGCGCTGCTGCTGGCTTCCCGAACCCAGGCCTCGGTGGGCTCAGACCTGACACCCGTCTGACAAGGTTGCCATGGCCCCTGACATGGTTCCTTCCTCTGCGCCTTCTGAAGAGGGAAAGCAGGTCGGGAAGCTCCTCGGCCTTGCACTTTCAGAAGATTCCCAGACAGCCTCCTTCTGACGGCGCTGTCACCGAGCCCGAGGTGGCGCACCCTTTCGCTGGCCATCTGCAGAAGGCTCACCTTCGTGATCTGCTTCCAACCAGAGCGGTCGCCAATGATGCCATGGCTATGCCCCGCCTGCCCCGGTCTGGCGACCACCTGAAAGCAGCCAGTGGAGCATGCAGGTATATGCTGAAACCTGCTGGAAGATGAATCATCTGAAGGCTTGCGAAGGCTGCGGCCAGAGGAAGAAAAGAATACAAAAACACATCCCGACAGGATTGTCTCTGCGACACTTCACGAGGTTTGTTTATGACCCCTGGCGCGCCTTCGACTCGTCAATGCGATGAAGCGCCTCAATTCTTTCTGAGCTCCGAATCGTGAGACGCCGGCCCTCCCTTTGCCATTTTGCTACCCTCTCGCCTCCGCCGCAGAGATGGCCTCTGTCGAGCTCTGGAGCAGGGAGATCTGCTCTTGCAAGGCCTCCGAAACGAAGCTCAAGAGAGCCCAAGGGGAATGTCCAATGGCAGCGCAGAGGTTTTAGCAGCGAATCTTACTTTCCACCCCGGGAGCTGCGGTGAACTTCGAGCCTTCTGCTGCTCCGCAGCCCGCTTCTCGGAGGCCTCGCAGGCCTGCCTGGAGAGCTCACCCCCGATTCACCCTGAGTTCACCCTTCACCCTTCGTGGACTCCCAGATTTTTCAGCTTCTTTCAGGCCAGTTGTGGGCCTCAGCGCGGCTGCGAATCTATGAGTGGCTGACGACGTCACACCTGGAGTACCAAGTTCTCAGCATGAGCACAACACGCGCATCACCATGCGCGACTTCCGTGCGTCGGCGTCAATGTACTAATGAAGCATGGGCGTGGACCGGACTTGGCTGAGAAGACTTGCAGCTAGCCTGGCCCTTCCCACAAGTACTTAGAAAGGGAAAGTGCCTCGCAGCTTCAGACGCTCCTGAGCTTCAGCCAGCTGTGCCTGACGGCAGAGCCATTGAGTCGTGCAGCACGCAGCACATGGGTGAAGAAACCCGAATGCCCAGATCTTATTCCGATGCCTTCGTGGACAACTGCAGTGCGAGCTCTTGGCTCTCTGTTTTTGCGCTGCTGGACATAGCCTGGCGCCAGGGATCCCCTTCACAACGTTTCACCACCGCGGCAAGACGGTGCTGCGCTTCAACACTGTACAAGTAAGGCTCGAAACCCTGAACGCACTAAACCACACGCACTGCAGGTAGAGGGCTCGACTAGCAAGCCACAAAGCCCAGGAGCTCTAAGCTACGAGTGCGGCTTGGCCTCCGTGATCTGAACCAGCATGATGTTGTCATCCTTCCATTGAAAAGTTCTTAAGATGGTTCTTAGTATATGGATAGTTAAGCCTTGCTATGGCAATGCCTAGTAGCAGTGCCTTTCAAGGGATTACGGTTTCGGGTTTGGCTGAGGGGGGGTTTGGGCTCAATCTTGAAGGTTCCGCTCGAAGCTCTACATCCTACCTCATCGTAAAGACCCTAACACCCAAAAGGCCGAACCGGAAGCCCTGGCCTCGCCCAGCTAAACCCCAATCATAGGAAGGCTTGACGCATCGCGTGTCGCATGTTTTCAGTGGCGATGCACAATGCAGAGTGTCTCGTCCGCGCTCCGTGCACTTGCATGGTATACCATACTATCAAGCAAGCACAGCTCCTGACGGTCTTCACTACGAAAGTGGAAAGCCATCACACAAACTGATCAGGCTGCAGAACACGTGCTGACCGGCTTTGCTGGCAGTGCCCCAGAATCCCCATATAGTCCCTATTCCCAATACATTGACTTAGCCAGCAACACTTCGAACTTCAATGAAAACTTCAAAAACCGAAATGGTTGTTTGGTGTGGTTTCTGAATGCTAAACGTAGAACTTTGAATCGGCCAATTGGGTTCGAAGCTTGGATCTTTCTGGAAAACCAGGTGGGAGAAACAGTCTGCACCTGTTGGCGGGCGAGACTCCAAAGTCTGCTTCGACTCACCTTTCCAGGGAGCCGCCTGATGCTCCTGATGCGCGCCTGGGGGTCCCGGGCTGGACCCGCTGATGCTCATGATGCGCGCCCTCTGGGGGAAATTCTGGAGGGCGTGCCGATTCGTGACCAGTGGCTGGTAACTGATCATATCCTTTGTTTTTGACCAGCCTGCAGACACCACGTCTCCGACCACATGGTGGGCCACGACCTTGCTGAGCCTGAGTTTATGGCAGAAACTTCCAGGTTCGCTTCAAGATGCGTAAACGTTCTTCTCAAAAAGACCCAAGACCAACAAAAACAGCATAAACAGCATGCAAGACAAGTCTTCTGTGATCATCCCCGACGAGCTCACTGTTTCTGCATATCTTCCGACTAGTTAGGGGTAACCCAAAACCTGTCAAACCCACCGGCAAGTAGCCTCTCCTCTGTAAAATACTTGTCCATGTCCCAGGTTGAACCAGGGTTGAAGACGTGGCCGCAGACTTCTGCATGTCCCTGAAGTCGCTTCGCGACGGCCCAGGCCAGGGTGCCTCCTAAGGAGTGCCCCGTGACCATGATCCGGGATGTGCCTGGATGTTCCTCCTGAGCCGTCTGCAAGCCCTTCACGTAGGGGTCGAGGTTCATCATGGACTCGCCGTTGAAGAGGATCTTGAGGTCTGCGAACAAGTCCGCCCACTTGTGAGTCCCTTGAAACGCGAGCAACAAGTCCGTGCCCCTCTTGTATATGGCCCACTTGTCGTGGTTGAAGCGATCAAGGAGCTCCCATCCGAAAAGCTCAGAGGCTCGGCTCGCCCTTTCTGTTGGAGATTTGTACATCTCGGAGCAAACCTTGGCCAGTTCCTTCGCTTCGCCCTCCATGCCTTGAACATCCTTTGCGCCACGTCGCCTCGCGGGCCACAACACGGTCGGAACCACAATCAGGCTTGCGGTGAAGCCCAGCACGCCCCTCACAGCATTCACAGGATGCTGCAGAGGCTGCATGTAAGCAGCCATGCTGACCAAACTGCTCAGAGCAAGGGCAGTGCCGGACCTATCCCTCTCAGCCGAGCCAAAATCGACGGGCGATGGCGTTTGGAGGAGACAGGCAGAAAACTAAATTGCTGGTTCTTAAGATGGTCAATAAGATGCTTCTATTAGGGTCTCAAGATGTTGCTTTTCCAGGATTTGTCAGGTCCCGCTCGCTTGAACTCCAGGTCGCCTTGGTGTCCTTCAGCTTTCGAATTGTCCCGCGCAGGCCCTCGATGATGCCTGAGAAGGCGGCAGCACGAAGAAGCCCCCATTGCCCGAAGGCAAAGCGAAAAAAATGTAGTCGAAGGGGAGTCTCACCGAACCCTTGGCTGCCTTCGGCATGCTTGCCCTCATCAGCAAGGAGCTTAAGCTTCTCGTGGCACCAGTCATGCCTCGCTTTCGTGACTTGCGAGGAACGCCATCCCAGTCACAAGCCATCACGGCCTGCTCTCCCCCTGCTGCTTTTGCAATTCGAGCTGGTCGGACAGTCTCCTGGAGGTTGCAGCTTCTGCAAAGCAACATCTCAAAGGCTGCCAGGGTCCTGTGCAGCTGCTCCAAGAAGGACTGGAGGCTGTCCGTGGAATCCTTCGCGCTAGGCTTCTTCCTCTTACCCCCAACAAGACCAGCAATCCCTCAAGCTGCATCCTTGGCAGAGGCCGCTCCCCAAAGTGTCAGCAGGAGCGATGCCTGAGCTAACCCCTCTTCGTGACCGCGCTACGTAGAGCAGGGAAAGAATTGAACTCTCAAGACTGAGCTGGCAGACCAGGATGGATGGCCTCATCGAAGCACGCAGAACCTGAGCCCACAGTGGCCCCCATTCGCCAGGATGTGAAGATATGTGAAGCCCTCTCCCAATATAAGAAACGCTCCGAGGTTCGCACGTGCTTCGCAGACTTCGTTCAACCCTGTCCCACCAACATGGGGACAGCTGAACCGAAAGGGGGTCGCGGCGGCCATCGTGTTACGCAGCCTTCCTCAAGCTTACATCCCATCTCAACGAGGGCACAAAGGTCTGCAAGAGGAAGAGCAATGTTTTTTTTATCAAGACACGCGCTGACCTCCTCAACTCTTCCGGCGGTCCAAGGACCTCTAATATTGGACGGTGACCGTAGCAGCTCTGGAGCTTCTGAGCAGCTTTGGAGCTTCCGCAGACCTTCCTTCATCTCAAAAAACCCTGACCTTTGAAGGCGTAGTTTTGACCCTATGACTTCGAAAGGTCAGAACACTTGTAAACACATGTCCAGAAAGGGGTCGGTCTGCCATGGCGCATCCAGAACACGCACTCAAGATAGATAGGCAAACCAAGTTGATCGCCGGCCCTCTTCTCGCGCAGTCCTCAGCCGATAATGATACCGGCTTCTGCAAGGTCCTCACATTGCAAGCACTTGCTCCGACAGTAACAATGCGGATTTACTGCTTAAGGCTACAGTGTGGTTGTTTCCGAGGTCCTCCGGTGCCATTTCGATCTCTGCGGCCACACCAGGTTCTGCCTCAACATTGGCTAGAGGTGTTGCTGCTGTCGGTTGCGTTCGGAGCTCAGTGAGAGCGGACCTCCGCCAGCAAGTCCGGAATCTCCGCATCGAATTTGCCGAAGGAGCCATCTGGCTTCACATCCTGTCAGCACAAGCGTCAAGCTGCATGGTGTGCGAAGCAGCGTCGTGTACTCCTCAGCAATTTCTGATCGGTCCAAACTCTTCAAGCTTTACATGGAGGCTCCGAAAAGCTGACTATCAACTCCGAAACCTGACTTCCGCGAGCCTTGTAAGCCTAGGAGATAGACTTGTAAGGAATGCAGATTCTGTGCGAAGTCTACATTTTCTCTTTCTCTGTCCTGTCTCTGGTAGACCTGAATGTAGCTCTCCGTCAAGGCCACCATTTGCGGCAAAACCGGCGTTACCTGCAGATCATCAACGCGGTGTGCTAGAGATCCTCAAGCTTCAAACCTGTGAGGAAACTTAGTGGGCTGAGGCATCCAGCTCGCAAATCGTGGATCTCGAACCACTGCGACGTGGGCTGGTGGAACACCTCGCCGCTCAAGGTGCTGCGCAAGTGTCGTGTATCAACGCGGAATGCCGTCGGACTGCCAAGTCCGTGCCTGCACTTTGTATGTACCACGCTCTGGCTTCCCATCATGGCAAACATTCGCAACCAAGTCCTGGCAAGGGCTACGGGCAGAACAGCGCAACATCCTGCTGCCAAGGAGAGTAGACGGAGTAGGCAGCAGAGCTGAGACATGGCGGGGCCACGTACTTCGTTTCCGGGTTGGCTGGCTGGCAGTCTGGATGGATGTAGTCCCTCAGATCAAGGCCTTGTTGGTGGCGCCAAACACGCTCAAAGGACCATGTTTCCAAAGCCACAACATTACAACACCTAAATATATAGAGAAATGCAATAAAGGAATGAATGAACGAAGAAATAATTACCAGAGAGACAGAGAGAGAGTGAGAGTGAGAGAGAGAGAGAGAGAAGCGCGCGTTTCTCCATACGTATGCGAGTCGTCTGACAAACCCAGAGGCAGGCCCCGCCCCTCAGGATCCCGCCCTTCAATGGGAAGGTCACAATTGTGGGGTTCTTTTCCACAAAGAAGTTGTTGTTTCGGAAGCGCTTCACTACGCAGATGACGTAGGGCGGCAAGCGCCTCAAGCTGTACCTGCAAAGCAGCGAGCGCGGTATGCAAGAACTGGGCGCAAGCTCACATCGTGGTGCTGGCTCGAAAAAAGCAGAAACAGGGGTGAACACAAAGACTGAAACTGCTTCTCTGCCCTGGTCCCACAAGGATCAGCAAACACGGATCGACAGGAGGCCCTTGGAGGACGAGATACCCCACCCCAGCCTCCTGATCTCGCGCGACTCACCACCTTTTGCGATCTTCTCGAAGGGCTTCTCGCCGTTGAACTTCTCCAACAAGTTAAAGAGCGGCACCTGCAGGAAGCAGAAAACATCAAGGCCGCGGGGAAGGAAGAAACCTCTACACTCCTTAGGGCCTGGGGAATGAAGTCCAGGTTGTCCTTGAAGAGCGGCTCGTCTGGCAATTCCTGGAATGCTTTGCGCCATGTGCCACAACACGGCTGTGCTTGAGCGATGTGCAGAGTTCGCTGGGAAAGGCACCAGTGTCAAGAAAACCGTCTTCTCTTTGGACTCTGTAATTCTTGACTCTTCATGGGCAGGGCAAAGCTTGACCTGCGAGCAGCTGCGACTACAAAGTTTCAAACTGCACTCATGCCCTCAGATGACTGTCCGCCTGCACTTCTCCTTGGAAGACGTCGTGAACCAGAGAGTCTCCCTTCTTGTCTCTGCTCTTCTTGTGAAGGTAACCCATCAGCCTCGGGACTTTTTGGCTTCTTGGCGGGCGCAGACCGAGCTTGCCTGAGCATCCCTGAGCTGTCCGGCCAAGAGAAGAAGGCCACCGGGTCCATCTGCTTGGCGTAGAACCTCGGCATTGCCGGAAGCTTCTCGGGAGGGACGATGTCCTCAGAATAAGCTTTTGAGTAGCCACTTCAAGAAACAGAAGCCTGAGCGCCCTAAAGACACAAATGAATGGGCTTTGTGGAGAGTACGTTACATGTTAAACACGGACGTACAAAATATTCGCGTCTTCTCCAGACCACTTCTGGTTTCAGTCATGGGATCCTTTCTGCCTGTCAAACAAGCTAAATCAGGGAAAGTCTACCAGAATAAGCAAAAGTATGAAGATCCTTGCCCCAAGAGCTGTAGAGTTGGAAGAGACCACAGAAAGACGCCGCCCAGGATCCCAGACCCCCTTATCTCTCCTCTGTGGCCTGGCTCCCCAAGTCTGAGCCGTGGACTTCTTATTGGTGACCTGGCCCACGGCCTGGTAGAACTCGTGGGGGGACACGATCCTCAGACGAACAAAAATCTGCCCTCAGAATCCCTCTCATGCCCAGGGCCTGGGGCTCCGCGCCCCTTGAAGTTCCTAGGGTTGTACATCTTGCGGAACAACTGGGAGATGGTGGCCAGGACTGGGTCCGGCCTGCAACCAGATGCAGCCCTCCAGGCGACCGAGTCGGAAACAACGACGCCGAACATGCCCGGGGTCTGAAGACGGCCCGGGGCGAGTCAGGAGAGAAAAAAACAGAGTCAGAAAACCCGCCGCGGGAGTCGGATAATTTTCGTAGAAGGATCCCGTGGCCCCACCCTGCACTTTTTTAAGCACCCTAAACCCGAAAAACCCTAAACCCCGAAGAGCCCAAACCCTTTTAAATTCAAAATCCTAAAATCCCGAAACCTAAAACCCTAAGCCCTAAGCAACCCTAAACCCGAAAAAAAACCCTCAGCCCTAAACTCAAACGCCCCAAATCCTAAAAACCCCAAAACCATAAACCGTAAGGACCCTGAACCAGCCAGGGTTTTTTCTGACCCGGCTCGTGAGTCGAAATATGAAAACACCCCCGAGTCGGAAATCTGGGAGGTCCGATTCGGAAAATGGAAAGTTCGGGACTCGGATCGTTGGTTTCTGGCACGGCCCGCAGTCCAGCGCACCGGCAGCAACAGAAACCAGTGTTCCTGAGGGACCCACTTTCGCTCGGATGGGGGCTGGTAGCCCAAGAAGTAGTTCCGGATTGGAATCACCTCACGGGGCTCGTGACGATGCCACTCCAGCCTTCTTTCCAAGACTATCATGGGCCATGGCTGTGCAGAGCATCTGGATAACGACATTCTGATAGTCTGAATCCTGAATGTTGTTCAGACCTGAACTGGCGACCAAGAACGCATGCAGCGAGTCCCATGCAGCGAGAAGCGAGGCCCTATCTAGTGGCATTCCAAGAACAGGGCCGATGCACCCGGGAATGTAGTCTGTGCCATCCAAGGCTTTTGAATACCGCACGCGAGTTGACATGAACTCGATCTCCTCGGCAACGAACAAAAACTTGAAAGGGTCGGGTACACTCTTTGCTTCGTGGCAGAAGTCGGTCAAATCCGCCGAGGCCTCGGGCCGAAGGTGTATAGGTTGTGAGAACAGGCACCCCCCTCCAAATCCCCCCAAGCCCAGAAGCAATTGTCGGCCCCCTTTTTTTGCCCCCCTGCCCCTCACCCCCCCCCCCCTACCCTGCCCCCGCCCCTACCCCCTCTTTGCTTGAGGGGTTTGGCTCAACTTTACGAACCCTTTCACCTTGAACCCTAAACCCCAAAACCCTAAACCCCAAACCAAAAACCAGAAACCCGGAACCCCAAACCCCACCCCCACCCCAGACACCCCCCCCAGACCCCAAACCCAGACCCCCCAGACCCCCCCAGACCCCAGACCCACCCCAGACCCCCAGACCCCAGACCCCAGACCCCAGACCCCAGAACCCCAGACCCCAGACCCCAGACCCCAGGACCCCAACCCCAGACCCCCCAGACCCCACCCCAGAACCCAGGACCCCAGACCCCCAGACCCCAGACCCCAGACCCCAGACCCCAGACCCCAGACCCCAGACCCCAAACCCCAGACCCCAAACCCCAAACCCCAAACCCCAAACCCCAAACCCCAAACCCCAAACCCCAAACCCCAAACCCAACCTGGGGTCCAGCGACTTGGGCGCTGCGGAATCACCATGCTCACGCAGATTCGCTGGGCCGGGCCGAGGCGGGTCGCGTAGCGTTGACATTTGGGTCAGCTGTCCTCCTCATCGAAAAGAGGGATCAAGTTGTACTTGATGTCCTGACATCAGCCCATTTTGATGCAGCCGGCAATGGCGTGGCTGCGGCTTCGGGCCTCTAGCGATTTGTCCACCACTTCATAGCCATCTGGAATGCAATAGACCTTCCCATCCACAGCATTCATCCAGACGTAGTGGCCCTTCTCCAAAGCGTGGCCTCAAGTCAGCGCACCCTCCAGAGCAGGATTGCTCAGGACTCAAGGACTCAAGGCGCCGGCGGTATGCGGGTGTGTCCTTGCCGCGTCCCTGGAAGAACTTCCCGTCAACCAGGTCGCAGTACACGTTGTCACCCGACAGCGTCATGGAGCACAGCTTCTCGAAATCGAAGTCCAACACATGCCTCATCCAAACACAGAGACTTCCTGCGCCAGAGTTCACGAAGAGAAGCATGGGAGAGGTGACGAGCCTGTTGATGGTACCCAGATATGGGCAGTCCATACCTCAGAATGTCAGAGGTACGTATGGAGTGAAAGACGATCAACTTCCGGTTCGGATGTTCTGTCTGAGATGTACACGTTGTGGCACCTCTTCCATTTTTCTCTTCTTCACCTGGATGATGTGGAGAAGAGCTGAAGAAGGGGAACGGTGGTGCACAAACAAAAAAGCACCAAAACCCAAAATCATCAAAAGCCTTGAAAAAATGCACAACATACTTACCAGTGCACTCGTACATGGCTCAAAACATCCCGAAACCAAGTGAACCGTATCCTTAACTTCCGTAAACACAAGAACGGCTGAACATGCTCAAACCTCACGGCAGTCCATGATGGGTCAGCCTATTACAAATGAAACGTAGCCTAGAGCAGCTCATTCACATCTACAACTTTCCTCAACACGTTTCACTGCAGCGACTTGGTCGCCCGGCCGGTGCTTCATCATCCTCCTCCTCCTCCTCAGCTGCTGGCCGCTTTGCTGGCGGCAAGTCCTGCCGGAGAGGGGCAGCCGCAATGTCCCAAAGTGCTAGGTCTTGGTTTTCTTTTTCTGGTCATGACGTGTCATGACGCCGCAGCTTCTCCTGCGCCGACTTTTCCTGAGCCGACATGGCTCCCAAGCTGCTAGGGCTGATATTGCACGATGTCGATTGAGGCTGCAATCTGCTGTGTGAAACTGCAGTCAAACGTCGCAAGATTCTGGGGTTGGTCTATGGAAGCAAACGCCGCAGCAATTGCTTGTTGAGCAAAATACGCGGCAGCTCATCGCATGCAGCATGGCACCAGGCTTTCGCATGATTACACAGAGCAGAAGGTCTTGTGCACAAACGGTATAAGGCTGAAAAGTGTCGCTTGTTTTAACAAACGCTTATGGTGAGATCTGATCATCCACTTCCAGGCTAACACCGCAATGCATCGGGTATACGAATCGGCTTGCTACCCAGCGGCTAACCCTTGAAATCTAGCTCGGCTTTCTGTGGAAGCAACTCTTCTACATCTGAAACGAGCATCTGAAATTACATAGCCAGCAATAGTGCGTGACATCTTATGCAGCTCGCCATCTGGGCGGGTGCGTCACAGCACTGGCCTGGCAAGATCACATTGAACACATATCGGAACTCCCAAAAAGATGCGGCACAGCAAATCTACAGGGCATAACAGGACGGTGTCGACCCAGGCATAGCATTGGCCCTCGCAGCCATGGCCTTGCGCAGAATCTCGGCTTTGCGGTCAAACAAGCTGGCACGCTGCTGAAGCCTTTCCTGCCTTCTCCGCTTGCAGCTGCGCTGCATGCTTCTGTCTGTCCTCAACCCCACAAAGGCAGGCTAGCATACGGAGTCCTACGAAGTACATGAAGCGTACACGAAGCCCACACAAAATGCAGCAACGCTCTGTTGGGTTGCTAGTCTTGCCCAGACACCGCGCAGATCATGAAAATCAAGAGAGCAAGCACCTCAATGTCGACATTTGCCCGGAAGCTTTGCTGCTTAGCTTCCACTTCACTCCAGGTACTTCCCCATGTGGGGCCCAGACTGTGAGCGCTCCGTATGTCGCGGCCATGGTCCACAGAAGAACGCTTCCTCTGGAGTTCTGCAAATCCTCAGTTTTGGTGGCACGAAGCCTCTGTGAACTAGAGCCGATCACGGGCTTGATCACTCGCTGCGGAACTATAAGAACCTGATAAATGGGTTTGCCAGGCACGTCTCAAGGCAGCCAAGGATCGTAGGAGGAGGCGTAGTTGACCGTGGCCGATACCTTCGTCACCCCACGTGCCCGACAAAAAACCAAGGGCTCCGATCGACTCAGCTGCGAGCATTGTCATCGGGCCTGAGAAGCTCGGAGCACAATCATGCAATTCATGCACAATGCGTCATGAAGCAAAGGAAGCCTCATGCTGTGAATAGGCTTCAAAGTGGTTCAGGGGAGCTGGCGTCCACCCCTGGACAGTGGAAGCTGCCTGCGCTACTCAGCTTGTGCTGAGGAAGAAGATGGACATGCTGTTAGAACCACTGCCTCCTTCGCGGCAGCTGCTGCTTGCTTCTGCTGTGCGGCCTCCGCCTCCTCAGAACTGCTGTCCACCTTCGCTACCGCCGGTGTTGCCGGTACTGCTGGTGCTGCTGTCGTCTCGGGCACCTCCGAGGCCGAGGCCGCCTTAGAGGCGGCCGCTTCCGTGCCTTTTTTTGTGCCTTCTTCGGTGCTATTTGAGCTCTCTGCGCTAGGTGTACGGTGTGTACTGTTGCTGTTGCTCCCCACTTTGCTGTCTTGGCTTCCTTTGCTTTCTTTTGCACCCGGTGCTGAACTGTTCGATCCGGCCGTTGTGGGCACGGGTTCCTGCTCAGCACTGCTGTTGCTCTGCTTGCTCTCTTTGGCAGTTTCATTGGGCGCTGCTGCAGTCCGATCAGCTGCTTTGGCCTCAGGCGATGCCTGGGCACAGCCGTCACCACAAAAGAATGCAACACTGGCAACGTGCTTGACAGCTTCCCACTGGCTTCCCAGGTGCAGGCAGGACACGTCCGCATCAACTGCCGCCAGGGACAGCTTCACTGCTCTTGGCCCGACAACATTCGTCTGTCAGACATATCCAGGCGTGAGCAACCGCACAAAGAATCACACAACAGAGGGCCGAGCCTGAATTAGCGCAGTCGCCATCAAGCTCTCATCGAAACGCTCGACGTTGACCGAAGCCTCCCAGCAGAATCCGGCACATCTGTCTGAAGTCTGCGCTACGCAGACACAGCGGCAGAATGGATCTGGGGTAAGAACCACAATAAATGCTTGGCACAGATGAAGCACCACCGGCACCAGAAGCAACATGCTGGGAGGCCACCTGCAGAAAGACAGAGGCACGATGAAACCAAAAGCAGGCATTTAGAGCCACAGCAGGAAGTCTGCAACATGCCAGGCCGTTTCCAACCACAGCTCTTACATGCGCACCTCTTGTGATTCGAGCGTGGCAGATGCAAAATACAATCTCGGATTAGGTAGCGGCTAATTGCCCTCCTGAGCCGCGTTGGCTCTGAGTGATGCCCAACTGCCCGACCATGCTCGAAGCTCTGAGCACTCGCAAACCCTTGATGGCTCCCAACCACCGCATCTTCTTGCCGATTCTACACGCGAAGTCTGGTGATCTGTGCACACCACAACTGTCGCTTGCAAGCGCGCCTGGTCTTTGCAGGCGAAGCGACACATCGCTCAGCGAGGTGGCTTCATCGACGAGCTAACAACGGCCAATACGGCCCGGGCGGCCCAGATGCTGGCTTGAAAATGCCCCGATTCAGACCACGGCCTCGCGGCCTCGCAGCCTCGCACACGCCCCGACAACTCAGAGGTCAAGTCGTGAAAACCGACCTGCAATACCTGCACAAACATCTGCGAAACATTTACTGCCTGCGCATTGCTGAAGAAATCGGGGTGGCGCAGTCTCATGGAGCGAATGGAAACTCGACAGGGGCACTGTGTGCAAGCAGAACTGCCCACGATGATACCCAGCGAGAGGAGGATCTTGGAGAAGAAGCACCTGATCAGCTTGCCACATGAAGGAGCAGTGCAACTCTCATTCGCAGCACTCTGACATCAAACTCGGATCCTGGCACGCCAGTAAGGTCAAAATGCCCTGGCAGACATGTTCATCTGTTCGAATTGGCTCCCGGATTGCAACGCTCTTGGCGCACTCCATGTCGTTCTCGAAGTCCAGCTGATCAGGGTCCTTCATTCCCACACCATCATCATCCGCCTCCGCATGTGCAGCATGCGAAGATAGCAAGCCAAAGGAAGGAATGATCAAATGTTCAAGTCCTTCCGGTCTCTGGCCTCAAGCGCTTCGAGCCCTTCCTGCTTGAGGTCGACACCGAGCTCCGTCAACTCCGTCAACTCTGTCAAGGCATCAAGCTGCAGCCCAAGGTCGTCAAGCTCGACGTTCGGGCTCGCCTCGCCAGTTTGGCTACCGTCTTCTTGCTGGCTGGAGCTGGAAGCCCTCAATCCTTCTGTAGTCGGCGGTGCAGTCGGTGATGTTTTCTGAAGTTCATCTCCATTCTCGCTGCCCGCAACTGATATCGCCTGGACAGCCTGCACAGCCTGCACAACGACAAGCTTCCACAGCTGCAGGAATTCCACCAAATCCGCAAAAATCCGGTATCAATCCAGCCTGTGGCTCGTGCGGCTCGTGCGGCTCCTGCGGCTCGTGCTGCTCGTGCGGCTCGTGCAGCTCGCTTGCTCTCTCCGACCTACAAGTCACGCTGACACTCACTGCACCTTCATGACCCTATCCCTAATTCAAACTGCAACCACAAGCCTGTCAGGGGCAACAGCAGCAACCTTGGCCGCCAAGCCTGACAGTTGCAAGCTCAGGATCTAGATGTTGCAAAGATGTCAGGTTGATATCGCAAGTAGGCTCACCTACTGTACGTGCCCCTTCTACACTGGCAGGGGGTGGCCTTGAGCAACTTCCACGCTGCCAGGCAGCTGCACATCGTCCCTGCAGCCACCAATTCAACATCGACAAAGTGATCCGATCAAGGACTTTGCTCACCTCTGCGGCAGGCACATGCACTCGCATGACTCAAGAGACAAATGTTTTTCTCGGAGCTCAGCAGAAGGAAAATGCGAAGGCACTTCCGAGCAAACACCTGCTCAAACCAGCTGCTCCTGTGCATCATCAACAATGTTTGGCTTCTGCCAGCTCATGCGGTGCCGATTGTGCTCGGCCGTCTCTGCGGCAGCTTCCAAGCGATCCAGTGCCTCTTCTGAGAGTTGCAGGTTATGCTTCTTCGCCAACTCCCTGACGGGAGACTCCGGATACACGACACCATCCTTCTTCCTCTCGTCGGGCACTGGACTCCAGAACTTCCTTGCTTGACCCTCCCTCGGCAACTCCCAAACGGGCTTCGTGGGGGCGAACTGCCTCTCGTCGATGTTGACGATCTCTCCACTTTCCACGGCCGCTTCCATGCGAGCGATGGCATCTTGATCCAAGACCAGTTTGGGGACCTCCCTGACCGGGATTGGAATGTGGTTCCCACGAAGGGTCGTCCTGGGCCTGACCTTCTTTCCACCGAAGGTCCCGTTCTTCAGTGTCAAGTCTTCTGCAGGTTCCTCTACCACCTCTTCGACAATTGACAAAGATGTGCTATCCTCCATTTCGACCTCCTTGCGCAGCTCCAGATCCTTCTGCATGTATTCCTCCTTAGTCATCCCGATCATGTCTAAGAAAGTCTGGTCGGGAACTGCCTGCTTGCCGAAAGTCCGCTGCCGCCGGTAGGCCAGTGGCGCCTTTCCTCGCAGCACGATCTTCCCGTCCTCCACGCAGGTTCTGGCAAGACCTTCTGCCGCAAGAAGCTTGCGATTGCGGGCCCCTCCGGGAAGGCTCACCCTCTTCTTTGGTCGCTGCGCATCCAGGAGTCGCTGCTGGTGCTCTGGAGGTGGAAGCCAGGCAATGCGATGCTGCTCCGGCTCTTTCAGGGCCCAAGTGTTGATGAGCGGATAAACCTCCGAGCGCATTTTTCTGAGCTCTTTCCGTATACCCCACTCACCACGGTATGGCAAGTACGGTCGAACACACGTGGCCTGATGTTTCAGATTATGCTGCGCGCGGCAGCTGTCACAGCAGTAGGAGACTCCTCTGCAAACATTGCACATTTTGAAGCGCCGCCCCTCCTCCAGCGTTGTCTTTCGGCAAACACAGCATACCTGCACGGGAAACGCGGGCGCACTCTTCTTGTCAGACCTGGACAGTTTGCCACCCACATCCTTGTAGACCCAAACGTCCTCGCGAACCATTTGCACAACGTCACAGCTGGTGACCATGACGTTGTCCCGTGAGAATGCGGCTGTCATGTCCAGCTCTAGCAAAGTAGAATTATTGCAGTTTGCCCGTGGTTCCTGGCCATGGTTCGCACGTCTTTCACAATCCTCGCACAGGAGGTACCGATCCCTCCAGGGGTTGTCTGGCTCATCGGTGTAAAGAATCTGCGGAGCTATTCCTTTTTTCCTGCTCTTCCGGTGCTTCTGTAACATGAAGTTGTTCAGCGATGAGATCTGCTTGTGTCGCAGCTCCATGTGTCGCACTTCAGCAGGAGAAAGCTCCTTTCCGTCAGGATTCACGGGAGTCGGCTTGACCATCCGGGCCATGTCATCTAATGTGTACGATCCTCCTCTGACAACTTTGTCAGCTTGCCGAGGCACCCTCTGAATTCTTCTCTGACGGGCCCAACAGCTCCCACAAAATCCAAGGATGGCGAGTCCCACAGAAGATTCCTTTGTCCAGGGGACTTCCAGCACACGACCCTCCACATGTACATGTGAAGGCCGGGCAGATGGACACCTCTCCGGAGGGGCACTTGCACTTGAGGAGAGGAACGCCTCCATCTAGGCCAAAACTGTCACAGCCCTGATGTCTGTGAGCACTTCGGTGGCAGGATGGCTTGAAGATGTGTGGTGGTTGTAGTGCGTCTTGCATCTTCAAGTCTGGAGTGAGCTGCTTTGCAAGTGTCCCTGGTTTCGTTATGTAAGGTTGTTGAAGTTCTTGGAATGCATTGCAACGCTACGCTGCTACATCTGCAACGGGATGGGCACCGAATTGACATGTACTCTTCGATGGTGACATGTCTCAGCGTCTCCCAGCATCTCTGGGCGTCTCTGAGTAGTAGCTCTAGGAGTCTAGGACTCTGCGAGTGAAGGCCATTGAAGGCCCCGAGCGCCTTGTGGAGGGAGAGAATGCAAAAGCTGTGTGTTCCGGGCTGCTGAGCGGGCTGAGCGGGCTCAGCTGCTCACTCCTTCAGCCACCCAAACCACAGCAATGAGATGCAAAGAGCGCAGAATAGCATGTCTAGGCCCAACACAAGAGGCCATGACGCTTGGCCGCCATCTCCGAAGAAGAGGCTTGGAGCTTGCTATGCAGGGCCTGAAGGGGATGGCCGGTGATCTGTCTGAAAGAACTTCAACGGCTCCTCGATGCTCCCCTCGCCTTCTTGGCCTCTTCGAGCTTGAGAACCTCCACGTGGAGCTGTTGGCTCGCCTGCCGCGGCTTCAGGCTTCGTTGCACTTCGTCGAAAAAGCCACAAAAACATAGTACTTGCACAAAACACGAGTCACCAACAATAACCATTGAAGAATAACAACCAAGGAGACGAAGGAAACGAAGGATGCGAAGGATAATCGAAGAAAACAAGCAGCACTTGATAGCACCTGCTACATGGAGGAAGCTGACGAACAATGCCAGTTGCTTCTTAGAGCCTTATGTGGCAAGTGCGATTTGCCCATGGAACTGAGATGGAACCTTGACAAGAACAGCTGCCGTGTTGAGTGCCCCAGGCTGGAACAAGCCACCCGTAAAGGAAGGCTGGCACATGAAAATACAAGGGAATTCATAGAATTCTTAGACCACTACGTAGCCTCCACATCGACCTTTCACTTCTCGAACGCTTGCTGCTCAAGGCCAAAGGATGGACTGCAAAGAGCTCAAACCAGCTTGGGCTCTTTCCAGGGTTTGTTCAGAGCATCTTTTCTCAACTCCCCGAAGCACCCGGGCTGGATAGTCTGATCGCAAGTCCTAATTTCTGAATGGCATGATGTCCAACTGGTTTCCAGATTCCCGAACCGCAGTTGCCCATGAATCCTGGAGAGCGCCTCGACGGCGCAAGCATCCTGCTGAGTCAACTTCTTGATCTCTCGCTGAAGTGAAGCTATCCGGCCTGAGGTGGTAGAAGAGAAAGAGATTGACCGGCAGCAGCAGACAGAGAGAGAGAGGGATCGAAGTATTGGAAAGCGCTGGGGAATAGGCCTTGAAGAGCAGCCTGCGCTGCCTGCTCCCTGACATTGTGGCATGTGTTTCAAGACTCGTGCGAACTCTTGCGAACCGCTGTCAGCAAATAGCCTTCCAACCTTTTGCTCAAGGTTTTTCTTCTTCTGCGATGCATCACTGACCTGTCGTGGGAGTGGCCGGACTCGGTCAACTAGTATCGCTGCTGCAGCAATGCCACGCTGTCCGGGCCTGCGACATCAGCAGCCTGGCAAACCACAACACGTCACCACGTCGCCAGCATTGCATGAGCAGCTCTAACATCGAGTATGTCCAAATAACCCGGACAGTTTTGCTGGCGCTCTGTCTCCAAACTTCCCATCCTTGCCAGGGCATGCTCCTGTTCTGTCATCCTGACCAACTTTTCCACTCCAGGCGCGGCACTCGGAATGGCAGGCCCGCTGCTGTTGTTGTGCACGTCTACATGCCTGGGGTGGGAAAAGCCCAGGGCAAGAGATGGCAAGAGCATACACGATGGTGACATTTAGAGCCCAGCAAGCCGTTGAGCATCACGTTCGACCTTCGCAGCTTCGATCTTCCTCAGCCCGCACTGGTTTGCAGAGGGCGCTGAAGAACAGAGCAGCTGGCAACGAGGCGCCCACTGCTCCAAGCCATGCTTGGTCTGCTCTTCCAGAGAGAATTGCTGCCTGGCACACCAAAACTGCAAAACTGCTCCCGATTAACATGTGTTATCATGTGTTGCTATGTCAATGTTTTGCCAGAATATTTTCTAGTCGATCTCTGCATCTCAAGGCCTCAGCATTTGAAGCTCATCATCGAGCATTTTGAGCTCCGACTTCTGCCTGGCAGCCTCAGAAAATCACCCGGCTAGCGTTGAATGCGCTCTCTCGCGACTCGCCGCACCCGCGACACCTCCTCCGCGGATTTCGAAAGACGCTGGCGCAACGTCTGCACCTCTCAGGACACCAGGCATTTCTGCGCGGCAGCGCCATGCAGCGCCATGCAGCGCCATGCAGCGCCATGCAGCGCCATGCTCTTTTCATATGAGCAGTCACGAACAGTCATGCGAAGCCAATTCAAGCTGATGGCCTCTTTGGCTACTGTTCCGCTTTGATGAACTAGGGCCTTCGATTCAGCATCAGTGCTTGGCATATGCTGATGTCAGCTGATGTCAGCATGTGAACAATGTCAGCAGCGTGTGGAACGATTCGGCCTGCCGCTGCTGCTTGGCAACGTTCAGGTGTGCAAGGATGGCCAACCTCGCTTTGTTTCTTGCACCATGGCAGGCACCTTCACTTATCTGCAATGTCCAAAGTGTAGCAAGGGTGCAATAGCTTAGCAGCCAGGAGCCAATTGCTCTGCCAAGCGGCTTCTCTGACTTGAAGGCCTCCAACTGCGACTGCCTCGTGGCAGCTCCAACGCAAGTGATGGAAACCAGGAGGTGAATAAGGCTTGCACATGCTCGTGTTTTCGTTGCGAACAGAGTCGAGCCTGACATTGGCCATGACACCGACACCCGCACATTCTTCTCTGGAATCTTCCAACATCCAATCATCACAACACTTTGAGATCCATGCTCTTGCTCCTTGTGCTGCTTGTCCTTGGAGAAACGCTCATTCTCAAAGTTCTCAAAGCCCTTTTCTCCAAGGCCCCCCACAACACGACAAGTCTCATTGAATTGTCCCCGAGCGCGGCACGGCCTCTGCAGCTTTGATGCGGCTCAGGAGCTCCTCCTTCTCCTACTCTCTGCAAGAGGCACTCGACTGAAAAGAAAACTCGAAAGTACTCCCCCTCGCTGAGTGTACACTCCAGCACGTGTTGCCCACCTTGAGGCAGGCCAACAGCTGGCGTTGCATCGCCCGACACTCGGACTCGTGTGTTTGCAAGTGGCTCCTGTACCGAACGTGACTCTTGAACTGTTGAGCAACAACACGGTATAGCACAGTCTCCTCTCATTGTCCACCATTGCAAAAGCTCTTGAAAGCTCATGCCTGGCACGTTCGCCAGGCTGCACGTCCAAGCCCCAAAAACAACACCACACAAACTGTGCCCAGCAGATGCCATACTGAGCAGGGGACTCGAGTGGTTGCGGATGGTCATCCTTCACCAGGTCGATAATTCTCTGCTACTTTCCTTCTACAACAGCATTTGCCGTGCAATTGCGCGCTGTGTGCATTCATGCACTTTGGACTTCAGACTGATGCGGCATCAGTCAAGAGTACAAGACGGGGCAAATGCCTTCTTCGGCGCAGGCGGCTGCTTTGGCCTCGGCTCGAAAACATCTGCAGACAGAACGACGAGGCACCCCTCAGGCACCCCTGAGGCACCCCTCAGGCACCCCCCTCATGCAGATCTGCCGCACGGCAATTTTTGATCAAATGCGGCCCGAGTGGGCCTGACTCGCGTGGCGGCCGCATTTGTGGCCTTCGCACCAGCTGCGGCTTTGGCACGGTGCTTAGCTGCCACTGCCATGGCTGCGGCAGCGGGGAAGATGGAACGTGTGTGTGTGTGGACAAGTCTGGAGCTCTTGCAATTGCACACGACAATAGATAAGACCATCAGTGCTATTGGAGCCGAAAAGGAACGACTTTAGCCACTGTCCAAGGCTCGCCTGAACCCCAGAACTTACGACAAAATTAAAATTGATCATGCGAAGCTTAAACCGTTCACGCCTCGCTTTCTTGCGCCCGCGCGCTCAAGCAAGCTCAGGGAAGCACCCTGCGTCCATCAATGGCGACCCACAGCGGTTTTCTGCCTGTAGTTGTTTTTTGGTCACACAATGTCCCCGATTATTGCTGATATAAAATGGTCCTGTCCTCACCACTTTTGATGCCCACGTACGAAATGGAGAAATGTTTTCCATCTGCATATCTCTGAATCGGAAATGGCGAATTTGCACACGCGATCGCCAAACGATATGCCTGTTGGTGATCCATAGGCGCGTTGAAACAAACCACCCCCTTGCATGTGCTCCCATCACCAGAGTACGAAGTTTAACGTGCGAGATAGTGAACGTGCAAATCCTGACTCGCAAGCACTGGCCTCACGGTGGATGTCATCTCGGCGGTGTTGGCATCACGGCGAGACACTGAAAAGCTTGAAAGTTGTCAGCTGTTGCGAGGCACCAGCCGCCGAACTGCACGAACCTCTCACCTAAGGGTTCGCAGCTTCCTGTCGCAGCGCCATTTTGCCGGCCGATTCGTGTCATACCACCCCCTGGCAACGGACGAGAGTCGAAGACCTTGGAACCAGGCGGGAGCTCAGCAAGTGGTGCCAGGCTTGAAGCTGCTTGGGGCAGGCAAGAGGGCGCGGGGACCAGTCAAGCGGAGGACATACTTGAACTCAACAACAGGTGCTCACTGCATGAGCAGAACTTTCAGCAAACTGGAAGTAAGAGTGAGTAAAAATCGGAAAAGTAGCCGTCTACTGCTTTTAGGATTCGCACCTATTATTCAGGGGGTTTGTCTGAAAATTAATAGACCCCTACCCCTACCCGTCTTCCCCCAGCCCGATAGACCCCGATCTGCAGTGGTCTATCCGAAACCGACAGGCGCCTATGCACAGGCACCTCGCATGGGTGGGATAGGGGTGGTATGGGTGGGATAGACCCCTATGCGGGCGTTAGGCCCATATCCCTGCCCGATGTGTCACTATTCATTTCGGACGTCTGGAGGCTCCAGACTAACAACCGTTGTTGTGTCGCGATTCGTGTAGGATGTAAATGCGAACGTGCCTTTTCGAGTAATTAGTCGAAGTATAGATATAAACGCATTTAAATAACTGACGCCGCTACCCCGCTTGCCGGCCCCTGCGGCGCACGAGTAGGACGAGAAGTAGAAGAAGAAGGATTGGTGGCAGTGGCACTGGTAGTGGTCGTGGTCGTGGTCGTGGTGGGAAGGTAGTGCAAGTAGTTCTTGTGGTGGTAGTGGTAGTGGTAGTGGTAGTGGTAGTGGTAGTGGTAGTGGTAGTGGTAGTGGTAGTGGTAGTGGTAGTGGTAGTGGTAGTGGTAGTGGTAGTGGTAGTGGTAGTGGTAATGGTAGTGGTAGTGAGAGCGGTAGTGGTAGTGGTAGTGGCAGTGGTAATGGTAGGGGTAGGGGGAAGTGGTAGTGGTAGTGGTAGTGGTAGTGGTAGTGGTCGTGGTCGTGGTCGTGGTAGTGGTAGTGGTAGTGGTAGTGGTAGTAGTTTAGTAGTGGTAGTGGCAGCAAGTGGCAGTGGCGGTGGCAGTGGCAGACCACGACCACGACCACGACCACGACCACGACCACGACCACGACCACGACCACGACCACGACCACGACCACGACCACGACCACGACCACGACCACGACCAAGACCACCACGACCACTACCACGACCACGAACCGACCACGACCACGACCACGACCACGACCACGACCACGACCACGACCACGACCACGACCACGACCACGACCACGACCACTACCACTACCACTACCACGACCACTACTTCTCACCACCGCCACCACGACCACTACCACCACCACCACCACCACCACCACCACCACCAATACCGCGACCACGACCACGACTACGACCACCACCAATACCACGACCACGACCACGACCACAACCACTACCATGACCACTACCTCGACTCTACCCCATACCCCATTCCCCTACCCCACCCTACCCCTACCACTACCACCGTGTTGGGTCGTGGGGCGGTGGTGGCGGCGGTGCTGGCGGCGGTGGTGGTGGTGCGGGCGGTGGTCGCGGTTGCGGTTGCGGCTGCGGCAGTGGCAGTGGCAGTGGTAGCGGTAGCGGTCGCGGTAGCGGTAGCGGTACGGTAGCGGTAGCAGTAGCGGTAGCGGTAGCGGTAGTGGTAGTGGCAGCGGTAGCAGTGGTAGTGGTAGTGGGAGTGGTAGTGGTAGTGGTAGCGGTAGTGGTAGTGGTCGTGGTAGTGGTAGTGGTAGTGGTGGTGGTAGTGGCGGCGGTAGTGGTCGTGATTACGACACGATTACGACTACGACACGACCACGCACTACGCTACAGTGCTACTCCTGCTACTGCTACGACAACGACTGCGACGACGACGATGACTGTGACTATGATCGACGATGACCGATGTCATGACTGTGACTGTGACCCGCTACTGCAAGCACTGCTACTGCAACTTCTACTGCAACAACGACAACACATTCCACACACTGCTGGTGCTGCTGCGCTGCTGCTGCAACCAGAACTGCTCCAAAACCTTTGGTCCTAGAAGTCATCAAACAACTTGAAAGTGTTTTGTATCTTAAGCGGAAGGTTGAAGAAATGATCACACACGACCAAAAGTCCAAAAACTATTTTGTGAGGTTTTGGAAAAATCAACGAAAAGATGAACCAGAAAAAACTTTGACAGATGTGACCTTTCCAGTTTCCACGTCTGTCAAAAGTCAAACAAACAACATGTTGTTTCTTCAAACTGTGCTTCAAATCAATTCCCAGGTGATACCCCAAAACAAGAGTTTTTCCCAACATATTGTGAAATGTGCTTTCGCTTCGATGTTTTTTGTCCGAAAGCTTGTTCAACCAAAATACGGTAGGGTCAAAGAAAACACTTCAAAAAAAAACAACCAACCAACCAACCAACCAACCAACCAACCAACCAACCAACCAACCAACCAACCAACGACGACTGCAACTGCGAACGATACATCGAAGATTTACGTGTCACTGCAAACAGCACATCTTTTGGCTTTTTTTTTGATTTGACATGAAATTCAAATAATTCTGGACCACACTACAAAATTCGGTGCCAGAAACGGAGTTCTGAAATCATTGTTGCCTATTTTGTTTCTCCACATCAAAAAAGCAGAAAGTTCTCAACAGAATATCTGCAAAACCGATAAAACAGCAGGCAGAATCCGAGAACCTTCACGAAGAGGGCAGGTTTTGGCAACGGAACATCTACTGAAAGAGCCAAACTGTACGAGACAAAGAATCAACCGCTAGCGCAGAAGCTCTTATTGCAGACAACTTAACGAAGTGAAACCGCAAACAAGAACCTTCCGGCACAATCACTCAGCTGCCCGTCATTCATAGCAATGCTGCGCCATGTCTGGCAAATGGTGGATAGGCTGCAAGGCAAGAACCTCCGTTTCAAAACTGTTCTCCGCAGAAGCCTCCGCTCTGTGCTGCGACTACCTCGCTTTGCAACCCTCCATATGCTCTGCGCGCGACGACTTTGAGTGCAGAGCGGGGGACACGTAGACTTTTGCTCTGCTGATAAAAAAGCAGTTGAAAAGGGTGCTGCTGTGGAAGATTGTGGCTGACCAGTGATGTTTTTGTCATGTTTTGGTGCCTTGTTGATTTCCAAGGAATCATACGAGTGTGTTTTTGCCCAATACGCGATTTAAAGTGAGTGTTCAGTGTGTAGAAACTTCGTTTCTGAAGCTGAGTTTAAGCTTACAAGAGAGAATTCGTTTAGTTTGTGCACTTCGTGACTTTTGACTTAAGTGGCTCTGACTGTGAAAGAGAGAGTTGTCCGCACTTGTGTGAGAGGTCAGGGTTCGTGCTTTCAAGGGAAAAGGTACAGAGGGACCTTCGGTTTTTCACGTGGTAGCGGAGCTTGTGCCTTGTGGTACGAGCCCGTGTATGGTCTTTGGTTGTTTGTCAGGACTCTGTGAGTGCCTGGAGGCAAGTGTGGGTTGGAGCCCAGACTGCCAGTGGACCGGAATCTCTTGTACTCGAACCGTGTAAGTGAGTACCGGGAAGCCTACCCTGTGAGGAGGCGGATCCGGACTTATCAGGCTTGGAAGCAGTTGGTTCAGCGGCTGTTGAGGCACTTTGGAGCCCGGGCAAGGTGGTTTGTCTGGAACTGGATTGGTTGTGACCGATCTTGGAGGAATACGGTGCTTGGTAGAGTAGAACTAAGGTTCTTCAGGAGCCTGGACCATCTGGTGTTGGTGAGAGAATTTTCGCCAGAAGACGTTGTGGAGAGACTGCAGGCTGGAGCCTGAGTTCAGGGACTATGTTAAATACA